TGGCTGGACAGCAATTAAGTGCTGAAATGGAAATTTCACAAATAGATTGGCGTCAATAAACAAGTTAGCAGGCTTGAAGTTCAAGTTCAGGGGACTGGCTCTAGAGGAAAGCTGTTCCTTTGCATCAGCTCTAGAGGAAGGCCTCTTTTCCTCTTTGGCTGCTAGCTACCTCTGCTTGGTGATTTGCTTGCTTAATCTCTTTTATATCTTAAAAGAGATTGGCCCCCCAAAACACCCTACACGACACTGTCACATCAACCTAACTACAATTATCAGGGATAGGATTTATGACCCACATGGTGGGGGGAGAGACAATTCAGACCACAGCACTTATATTCCAGAAGGTCAAGATCATTGAACCTCTACATTCTTCTTCCCCAAACAGGGCAGACAGCAGACCTCCCTCCCCACCTTGTGGACTCTGCCCAGGGATGGTCTGGAAGTTACCATCCCAGTGCAGCACTCAGCACTCCAGTGCCATCTCTGGAGTCCTCATTTTGGCCCTGGTGACAAGGATGGTCTCCTTTGTCCTTGCCTTATCTCTTCCTGTCCAAACCAATGTCCTTACTCATCAGGAAAGGGCAGGAAGGCCACTAGACCGAGTAGAATGGTTCCCTTCCCCAGACTTCATGCTTACATAGAACCTCTGAGCTGGCCTTATCTGGACCTTATCTATAAACAAAGTCTTTGCAAATATAATTAATAAAGATGAGGTTGTACAGGACATGGTGGGCCCTAGACCCAGTGACTGGAGTCCTTCTAAAATGGCATGGACACAGATACACAGAAAGGGAAATGGCAGTGCGAAGACAGAGGGACGCATTGGGGTGATGCCACTACAAACCGAAGGATGAGTGTCAAGGATGCTGGCAGCTACCAACAGCAAGTGGCTTAGTGGCAAGAAGTTGTGCTGCCAAACCTGAGGCCAACAGTTCAAATCCAACAGCTACTCCATAGGAGGAAGATGATTTACTGCTTCTGAAAACCCACTGGAAAGTCAGCTATGAATTAGTTCTGACTCAATGGTACATAACAACATCAACAGCTGGAAGAGACAAGAAAGGACCCTTCCCTAGAGCCTTAGAGGGAACATGACTCTGCTAACACCTTGAATTTGGATTTCTAGAACTGAGGAGGACCTGAAGCACCTGCTGCAGAAGGTCAAGTACTGCAGCTTTCAATGTGAATTGAAGCTCAACATCAAGAAAACAAGATTCGGGCCACTGCGCTGATTGGCAGCATCATGATAGACAGTGAAGGGACTGAGATTGTACACAGCTTTAGTTTGCTTGGCTCCACAATCAACATTCTTTGCACCAGCAGCCAGGAAATCAAAAGACAAATTGCATTGGGAAAGTTGGACTTCTCCAGAGTACTGAAGAGCAACAACATCAGACTGGAGACTATAAAGTGCACCTGTCTAAGGCCATAGTCTTCACAATTGCTCGCTATGTGTCAGAGATTGGGACAATGATTAGGGACAATAGAAAGCTCAAAATGCCTTTGAGCTGTGGTACTGGAGAAGAGTATTGAATATACCATGGACTGCCAGGAGAACAAACAGGTTCACCCTGAAGAGGGTGAAACCAGGCTGCTCCTTGGAGGTAAGAATTCTGAGGCTCTGTCTGACATACTTTGGGCATGTTGCAAGGAAAGCCCAGTCCTTGCAGAGGAACATCATACTTGGAAGGGTGGAGGGACAGAAAAAGAGAGGAAGACCATCGATTAGATGGATTGATACAGTGACTGGGATAATGAAGGTAGATGTGTCAGAGACAGTAAAGTTTGCACAGGATAGAGCAGGTTTCAGGACTATCATACAAAGGGTCACTATGAGTCACAAGCAACTCGACAACATATAACAACCATCATCCTTCTAGTACTGAGAGACAATAAATTCCTTTTGGTTTTTGCAGCATCATACTAGATGGCAAATGTTTAAGGTTGTTAACAATTTCATCTTGCTTGGTTCCACAATCAACACTCTTTGCACCAGCAGTCAGTCTGCCGTCAGGGACCTTTCAAGATTGCTGAAAAGCAATGATGTCAATCTAGAGACTAAGGTGTTCATTGATCCAGGCCAATTGTTTGCCGTGCATCTGAGAGCTAGGCAATGAATAAGAATGACAGAAGAAGAAATGGTCATGTTGGGGAGTTGCACCGCCAACTAAAATGTAGTTCCTGTCTGGTGGTTCGAACCAATCAGCTGCTCCACGGGAGAAAGAGGGGCAAACTCCTCCTGTGCAATTTACAGCCTCCAAAAACCCATTGGAGGGCCAGCTATTGGTCAGTTCCAACTCAATGGCAATGAGATGCGATGAGAAAGATAATGAAAATGTGCCATTTTTAGCATATGTAGTTGGCTTGTTGGAGAAGAGTATTGAATGTACCATGGACTGCCAAGAAAACAAAAAGATTCATCCTAGAGAGGGTTAAACCAGGCTGCACCTTGGAGTAAAAGATTCTGGGGCTTCGTCTGACATACTTTGGACATGTTGTAAGGAGGGACAGGTCCTTGGAGAGGGACATCATGCTGGGTAGAGTGGAGGGACAGCGCAGGAGGGGAAGACCCTCTATGAGATGGATTGATTCGGTGACTGGGGTAATTGGGATGGGTGTGTCAGAGGCAGTGCGGTTGGCACAGGATAGAGCAGGGTTTAGGGCTGTTGTACATAGGGTCGCTATGAGTCGCAAATGACTCGACGGCACATAATAACAACAATAAGTTGGCTTGTTGAAAGCTGTTGTGGATAAACACAGAGTCCAAATGCATTAAAAAATCAAATCAATATGAGTGGGTGGTCTGCCTGCCTCTGGGACTCTGCAGGCAGGTGAGTCCCCATCACTGGGCCTGTGTGTCTCTGGAATATTGCTACCCTGAGTCCAGGGGCCGAGAGCTCTTGGGACGTTTGAATAGCAGCACGGTGGGTATAGGAACAGCTTCTCTACTCCTGCTTGAGGAGTGACCTCCTGTGCAGATCCCTGTCCTTAAAGCTGTGGGCATTTCCATTAGATCCACAGGGACCCTGTAGGAGAGAGTTGCTGTTGCTAGGTGCCATTGAATCGAATACGACTCATAGTGACCCTATGAACAACAGACCTGAACCCTATCCTATCCTGTGCCATCATTCAGTGCTGACACCAACAGGGCCTCAGCCTGCTTTCACCAAATCGTGCATTTTAAATAAAGCACATTTACAATACACTAGGCTACTGTTGCAATGTCATCAGTCTACAGACTATGGTGTGCCTGACCCATGACATGGTCTTCGCAATTACTTGCTATGCATCAGAAAGCTGGATAATGACAAGGATGATAGAAGAATCGATGCCTTTGAGCCATGGTGCTGGAGAAGAGTCTTGAAGATACTGTGGCCTGCCAGGAGAACAAACAAGTCTGTCCCGGAGAGAGTGAAACCAGGTTGTTCTTTGGAGGCGAAGATTTTTGAAGCTCTGTCTCACGTAGGTCACGTTGCCATCATGCTTGGAAAGGTGGACACACTGCAGGAGAAGACAACCCCGGATGAGGTGGATTGACATGGTAACTGATGTAGTGTGGGCAGGTGTGTCAGAGACAGTGAGATTGCCTTAGGAGAGGACAGAGTTCAGAGCTATTGTACATAGGGTCACTATGAATCACAGGCAACTCGACAGCACATAACAAGTGTTGCTTCTGCACTTCTGTACTGAGTTTAGACCTTTCAATAACAATCTAGGAACAACAGACCTGAACCCTGTCCTATCCTGTGCCATCCTCATCATCTTTGAGCCCATTGCTGCAGTCACTGTGTCAGTCCATCTCTTTGAGGGTCTTCCTCTCTTTTGCTGACCTTTCCAAGCATGATGTCCCTTCCCAAGGAATAGACTCTCCTAGAAACATGTCCAAGGTATGTGAGACAAAGCCTCATCATCCTTGCCTCTAAAGAACACTGGCTGCATGCTCTCCTGGACATACCTCTTTGTTCTCCTGGTCACCCATGGGATATTCAGCACTCTTCTCCAGCACATAGGCGGGCTTTCTGAGGTCATAACCTCCCTAAAGGGGTCTTTCATGGAGCAGCTGTTACGCTCAAACTGCAAGCCGTTCAACTGGCAACCACTAGGGCTCCATAGGGCATCTCAAGCTAACCAAATTGTCTTCTGGGTGCCTTCCTAATCTCTCCAAATAAGGCCACTTTGAGCTAGGAATAGTCACTGTTTGTACTGTAGGGTCAGTAAGAGCCAAGAGTGACTAAAAAAAGAAAGAAAGAAAATGACTCCACAGCATCCAACAACACAAACAACAGCCCTTCATCTCACTGGTGTGACTGTTGGCAGCCTACGTTGTCTCGGCATCTAGAAGGAGTTGCCCACTGCCAGTGACTGGCAGCACCTTGACTGATGATGGGCTCTCCTGAGGGGTCTCAGCCGGCCCAAGAAGTTAACTCTCCAGCTTGCACCAGGACCAGATCCGCTCAGGGCTGTAGCAGGGCTTCTCAGGCCCTGAGGAGAGGGAGGACCCAGTCCCCACCCCCACCCCCACCCTGAGCCAGGTCAGCTCCCAAGAGAAGGAAGAGCAAGTATCCATAGAGAGATACAAGCAGGGCTGTAGCCTGAGGAGAGATGGTGGGGAGCTAATGGGAAACAGCTTGCTGGAGGGAGGGGGCTAGGACTCAGGAATGGCCGGGCTCTGGCTGTAGGCGAGGGGGTTGGGACACGGAGGCTGAGTGAGACCAGCTGCTGCTCCTCTGCCTTGGAGATCTTTGGACTCTGCCCTGCTTGGGCTCACACCCTATTCCTAATCCGGAGACTAGCAGCCAGCAGAGGCAGCCTGGGACAGCCCGAGGCTCTGCCTGTCCTGACTCACACGCAGAGCCCGCCGAAACAAAGGACCTGAGGTGGGGAGACGCTCAGTCCACCAGCTGGACACCTCCTTCCCAGGCTGCCCCCAGCCCCCTGCCTGTTCCTGCCCAGAAAAGTTCCCAGGCCCTCCATCACCAGCGCCTGCATCTGGAGACCCTATGGCCCGACCTTGGTGGGGCTGCTGCCCCTGGCTTGTCCTTCTCTGTGGTATGTGCATCCTGGCCTCTCCCTCCCATGCCGGGAAGGCAGGCCCAGCCTGAAGTTGGCATCTCTGTTCGGGGCTCACATGGGGTTGGAGTGAGGGCTGGGGCACCGCACAAGCTGTTTCTTGAGGACCCCTTTGATTTGGACTAAATCTGCCTTGGGATCTTGCCATTCCCCCCCTGCAGGGCTCTGTTTGCCCCCTTTGGTCCCACCTAGGTGCCCAGCATCCTCACGCCCACCCCATCCCCAGCCTTAGTGAGACCCCCTTCCATTGCTCCCCGGTGGCAGGATCCTACTCATCCATCCAGAACTAAGTTCCTGAGCAGCTTCTGGGACCAGTACCTCCTGTGTCTAAAGGGACAGACTGCCTGTGTCCCGCTTCTTCTGTTGGTCTCTTGGGTCTTCATTTGTGCCAGAGACCTACAGAGTTGGGTGTTCATTTTCTTAAAGCAATGGTGGGGGTCTCATCCCCCCACCCACTTGAGTTTATGACACCAACACAGTCAGGTAGGAACCTAGCCACCTGCTTTCCCTCTGTAGTTGAAGCAACTGGGAAGGTCAGGGTGTACACAGGGTTTCCTCATACTCATGTCCCCACGACCCCGAGGAAAGCCCCCTTAATAGGTGTGAAGGAAGGAAGGACTATGGGACTTTCCAAGCAGGAAGGAGCTTTTTATCCAGGCCTCTCTTTTCAGAGCCCTAGAACCTATGGAAAGAGATTAGTGGCAGAATGTGTTGTGTGTTGGACTGCTAACTGACAGGTCGGCAGTTTGAATCCACCAGTCACTAGGTGAGAAAAAGACCAAGAAAAAGAGCCTGTCAGGGAGCTCTGATGGTCTAATGGTAAGAAGCTGTGCTGCAACCCTAAAGGCATACGGTTCAAACCCACCAGCTGCTTTGTGGGAGAAGGATGGGCAATCCCCTCCCATGCAATTGACTGCCCCCCAGAAACCAGCTGGAGGGTCAGTTATGAATGAGTTCCAACTTGACAGCACGTGACAGCAACAAATTTGATCCCGGTTAAGATATGCAGCTTCTGAAACACAATGGCAGGACGCCCTGTTGACTCAAAGGCGGTTGATTTGGAGTCTGTGGAACTTAGCCCAGTGACTGGCACACACTAGACACACAGAAAATGTTCACTTGGTGAATACTGGGTGCCTCTCCTTGGGTTAGAAGGCCCGGTGGCACAGCGATTAAGCACTCAGGTGCTAACCACGAGGTCTGCAGTTAGAAGGCACAGAAGAAAGATGTAGCAGTCTGCTTGTGTGAAGATATACTGCCTTGGAAACTTTGGGGCGGTTCTGCTTGCTCCTATAATGGTTACTAGGAGCCGCAGGAGATTTTTGGTCTCCTGGAACAGAGCTCAAATTTGAACTTAGATCTCCAAGCACTTTGCCCTTTCTGTCACATCATCTTTCCAGGGCCCCTCCTATGGATGGCAGAAGAGGGAGGATGGGAAAGCACTCCCCTGTTTAATACTCTAATGACCTGGGTTCCAGACCCAGTGGCAGAGTTGGCCTGAATCTCAGGTTCCTCCTCTGGAGAAATGCCCACCTCATAGGGTTGTATTGAATGAGATTCTATACACAAACTGCTGAGTTCAGGATCCAGCACATACCTGTTGCCAGTTGCCAGAGACTCAGCCCCTAATTCCTAGCACCTTCACAAAACATTGCCTGGTTTGGGCCCACCCCCATGGAGAGTTGCAGATCTGACTGTTACGGTTCATAGGATTTTCTCTCTCTTTTCTAAGTTGTGGTTTGGGTGAAAGTTTACAGAGCAAATTAGCTTCCCATTCAACAGTTTTTTTTTTTAATTTGGAAAAAACATATTGGGGGTACAAAGAGGTGAGGGTTGGGGGCAGAAGGGTGAGGATGGGCAGGGATGCAGTTGCAGAGCTGCAGAAATTGGTCCCATTCAACAATTTTTACACATTTGGTTTTGTAACATGGGCTTCAAGCCCCTTTAAGGTGACGGCATTCTTCCGACTACCTTCCTTGGTTCTCCATGTCAGTTATTTCCTACCCCTTCCTGCCTTCTGCCCTTTGTTTCTGGGCAAATACTGCCCTTCTAGTTGGTTAGAGTTGATTATTCAGAGAGACATGTTCTTCCTGCGTGTTATTGTTCACGTTATAAGCCTGTCTTTGATGTGGCTGAAAGGTACACTAGGAGAGGGTTCAGTTCCAGGTTGAAAGATGGTGAAAGGGCCAAAGAGGCTCTGGGGGTCCCAAGGGAGTTGTGCTACTGACCCAGCCAAAGGCAGCACGTCTCTGGCAGTTTGAACCCACCAGTTATTACACTGGGGGAAAAGATGGACAATCTCCTCTCATGCAATTTACAACCTCCCAAAATCCACTGAGTCAGTTCCAACTCGATGTCAAAGAGTTTGTTTCCTGAGTGAAAGGCCACTAGTCTCTATCACACTAGGAAGTGTCACTTCTTTTACAAATTTGAGTTTTGTTCTCCATTTTTCTCCTGCTCCGTTAAGGACCTTCTGCTGTGACCCTGATCAGAGCAGACAGTAGCAGTTGATGGTCAGCCTCAGGCTAGTTCATCTCTCGAACATTTTCTTTCCTTGAGGTTTTGTTGGGTTGTTGTTTTTTCCCTTCTTCATTATCCTTTCCTCTGGATAAGGAAAGTCCAGTAATTGCATCCTAGCTGGCCACCACAGGGTCCTCCTTGGCTCATTTGCAGAAGTAAAACCCCAATCCCTCCTTCCTAGTCTGGCTGACCCTGGGAGCTCTGCTAAAACCTGTGAGGTAAAAAAGCAAAAAGGTGGAGAAAGAGATGAAGTAAAACAAAGGAATTTATTATTTTATTTATTAGTTATTAAAGGAAAGTTACAACAAAGGTTTTATGTGCCGGGTGTGTGTGTGTGTGTGTGTGTGTGTGTGTGTGTGTAAGTTGATCTATTCAGTGGTCAGCTCTCTCTCTATTCAGTGGTCAGCTCTCTCTCTATTCAGTGGTCAGCTCCCTGTAGAGGACATTAATCAGACACCCAGGACCCTTTAAGTGAGCTGCTTCAGGGCTAACATTAATCAGAAAGTGGCAGTGGTGTGCTCTCTTCCGATTGGCTGCAGCATTGGAATGGTTCCCCAAGGGTGCATCTGGGCAGAATGCTACCCAGCTTCCAGGTGACCTTTCCAAACCTATTCAACATCATAGCAATGCTGACCAACAGGTGGGGGCTGAACATAAGGTACAGCGGTGAGGAGTCAAGTCTGAATCCCCTTCATGGATGGGGTGGGGAGCCCATGTCCTTGGCTATTCATTGTCTTCTGATTCCCACTCACCTCCTTACATGCCAATCTTTCTGCCCCCAAATGGCACCAACCTCAGACCAGGATATTTCGAATGAGCCTGGAATGATGGACTGAGATTTGAGTCGATGAGAGATGGGTACAAGTGAGTCTTGAATTGAAGAAAAGCCAGGATGGATGGATAGAGATAGATAGATAGATAGATAGATAGATAGATAGATAGATAGATAGATAGATAGATAGATGATAGATAGATGATAGATGGATAGATAGATAGATGATAGATAAAAATCTGATTTGGGAAAGTCTCAAGCGAAGGAGGGGGTGATGACTTAGTGAGATGCTCCAGAGCATCTCCACGAAAATTTGATTACAAAAATTTCATTTACACACCATTTTTCCAGTTCAGTAGACCCTGAAAGGCCCAATTAGATTAGGAGAGGGGAAAAAATGGATTAAATGAGCACGAAAACCCATCGATGAAACAGGTTTCTTTGATTGTGACCCAGCGTGCCACCCAATTCAGCCTGATTTCCTATCAAATGTGATTCTTTTTACCCTCAAGAAGAACTGGGCAGCCTTGCCTTTCAAATGATAGAGGCCAAGGGGGAGGGGGAGCTGTGAAAGAGGAGGTGGCTCGCACTCTCTTGAGGAGTTAGCTGATCTTCAGGTGACCCTGAATTTTTCTTCATGTTTCAGCTTGTGCCTGGGGCCACCCAAAGCCAGCAGACCTTGGAAGACAGGATGTGAGAAACTGTTCCACCAGCCCTCCGGTGAGGCCCTGGCTCCACCTCCCACCTGGTCATGCACCCCTGTGACCTCCACCCCGCCCAGCCTGCTCCCCTTGCTAGCCTCTCCCTCCCTCCTGGGCTTTTCTCTGGATTTCCGGCCACCGGGGAGGGGTGGAGACCTTGTTCCTGAAGAATACCCACAGGGTTGGGGAGAACCTTCTCAAGTGTCTGTTTAACATCCTCCCTTCCCTACACACCCCTTCATCTGTGCCTTCGCCTCCCTCCCACCCATTACCAAGTAGATTATCTACTTCCTCCTGATCCTGGGCAGTCTCGCTAAGGGAAAAGGGTGGGGGGAAGGGGCTGGAGGCTGCTAGGTGGCCTTTGACTGCTGCTAGGCCTAGGTGTTGGGAAGATGAAAGGGGAGAGGGAGGCATGGATGAGAGGAGGGAGGGAGACAGCCGGCTGGAAGAGCTGCAGAAAACAGGACTAGCCCATTGGAACTTCACAGAACCTTCCAAGCTGGAGACCCAAGAGACAGTTGTTAGGACTTCTTGGAATTGTTTTCAACTCATAGTCACAGAGAATTGCCTCATAGTGGGTTTCCAACACCCATCCACCCCCACCCCCGCCTGTAATTGAGAGCAGATTGCCAGGTCCTTCTTTGGCAGAGCTTTTTAATTTTTTAAAAATTCTTTTTATTTTATATTGGTTTGCTTAGGGAGCTCTCTCTGGTAGCCTAGGGGCAAGAGACTGCATGCAATCCTGAAGGCATGCAGTTCGAATCCACCAGCTGCTCCAGGGGAGAAAGGAGCAATCTCCTCCTGTGCGATTAACTGCCTCTGAAAACCTGCTGGAAGGTCAACTTGGATCAGTTCCAACTCTACTGTATACAACAACAACAACATTGGCTTGCTTACAAAGTTCATATCCACTATGTTTCATGCTATCCTTCATTCACATTGTGTTTCATACAATCATTGCCATTCACTATGTTTATAAAAATAATCACTATAGAACTATTATGCCCTGCCTTTCCGTATCCCCACCAGATCTTTCCCATTTCTTTTACCCATCTCAGTCCCTCTACCCACCAAATTGTGTGATCCTATGATTTCCCTGCTGCCCATCCTCATCCCTCTGCTCTACCCTCCCCACCCTGTTGGATCCCAATACTTATTTTACTAGTTGTCTTTCTATTTCTAAGTAATGATCTTGTGCAGTATTTGTCCTTATAAGATTGAGTTAGTTCACTCTGCTTAATTTCGCAGAGCTTTTGCGTGGATTTGAACTGCCAGCCTTTGGGTGAGCAGTACTACCAGGCCACCAGAGTAGGGCTAAAGATCGCTAGGTTACATTGGGCCAAGAGGTGTGAGGCCTGGGCATGCCAGAGGCAGGTAGGTGAGTGGGTAAACCAGATTGCTTCTATATTAAGAAGAAAAACTCATTAAGTATATATAAATATATTTGAACGTTGTTGAGTTGGAATTAAACCATAACTGAGCCTCCAAGGAGCTTTTCAAAGGTAGTAAATCTCACAGCAGAAAAGTATCCTTCCTTCTGTACCCTGTAGATTTGAACTGTGTGCCTTTGGAGTTACAGTGCAGTCTCTTACCACTAGGATACCAGAGTTCCCCATATACTTGAATAATGTTTTTGTTGTTTCTGTTGTTGTTGACCCATAGCTGACCCTCCAGAAGGTTTTTAGAGGCAGTTAATCACCCCGGAGGAGATTGCCAATCCTTTTCCCTCAGAGCAGCTGATGCGTTTGAACTCATGCCTTCGGGATTACAGTGCAGCTTCTTGCCACTAGGCCACCAGAGCTCCCCAGGTACTTGAATAGAAGACGAAATGAGAACCAAAACCTCATGTATTTCCTTTTAAAGCTTAATACAGTCTGTAAAGAAATATTCAACTTGCAGAAAATCTTTTTGGGAATTTTCCCAAACTGCTGGGGACAGTTTGAGACCAAAGGGCAGAAAATTAAAAAACAAACAAACAAAATATCACAAAGTAAGATGGGGCAGAGATTGAGGTGGTGAACAGTTACGGCTTGCTCAGCTCCACAATCACACTCTTGGCATGAGCAGTCAGGAAATCAAAAGATGAATTTCATTAGGTAAATCTGCTGTCAGAGCCCTCTCCAGAGTACGGAGAAGCATCGATGTCAGTCTAGAGACTAAGGTGTGCCTAATTCAGGCCATGGTCTTAGCAATTACTTGCTATGCATCAGAGAGCTGGACGATGACGAAGGATGACAGAAGAAAAGATGTCTTCGAGTTGTGGTGCTGGAGAAGAGTCTTGACCATACCATGGACTGCCAAGAAAACAAGTCTGTCTTGGAGAGGGTAAAACCAAGTCTCCCCTTAGAGACTAGGATTTTGAAGCTCCCTGTCACATACTTTGGGCACATAACCAGGAGGGACCACTCCTTAGAGAAAAACATCATTCTTGGAAGGGTTGAGGGACAGTGCAGGGAGGAAGGCCCCAGATGAGATGGATTGATACAGTAACTGGGGCAATGGGGGTGTGTTAGAATTTGTGAGACTGGCTCAGGACAGGGCAGGATGCTATACAAAGGGTTGCTATGAGTTGCGGGAGACTCGACTGGAACATAATAACAACGACAACAGGTGTGCTAGATAAGATGCAGGATGGCCAGTTATCCTTGAACTTCAGATAAGCAATGAATCAGCTTTAGAATTCATATCAATAGAGAAGAATTTAATATAAATCTCAAAGACTGAAGCTCACAGCCATTGAGAGGGATCCACGTTATCATAGCTGACCCTCCGGTGAATTTCCAAGATTGTAAAACACATGGGAAGAGATTGCTCATCTTTCGCCTTCAGAGGCTCTGGGGGATTTGCTCAGAGATGCCCAGCCTGTGGGTAAGAGCACAACTCCCTATGGACTCATTGCAACCCTATCCGCACTGGCTCTAAACCTTTTCCTCTCCTAAGCCAACTTGACCATTTCTGACTCATTTTCCCCCATTGCCACAGTCACTGTGTTTTGTTCCCTTACGGACAACGTGTGTCTCTGTGTGCATGTCGTGATTTCTTCTTGTCATCTGTCAGTATCTCCCGGCTACGGCGGTCAACACCACTGTGCAGCTCGCAGCCCTCCGCCAACAGTTGCAGGTCTGGAATCTCTCCGCATATATCATCCCAGAAGCGGACGCCCACATGGTGAGGACAGCCCCTTCTCCCTGGCACCCTGCTTGCAACTCCCCCATCACCACATACACCCCCAATCCAGCACAGGTCACCAAGAAGGGGCTGTTAAGACTAAGATGATGAGGTCAGAGAAAGGATGCAACAGACTAAAGGGAGAAATGTGGAGCTTAGAAATGGGAGTTTGAGGGCAAATGAGAGAAAAGCATTCTGTTACATAGGTTAGACCCATTGAGAATCCCCTTGACCTCATAAAAGGAACCTATAAACAACTCCAGAATTTCTCTCTGTCAATTGTTGGAGAGCAATCAGAACCGGAAGGAATATTTGGGCCTCCCCTGCTTTTGTTGTTGTTGTTGTTGTCATTGTCGTCGTCGTCTTCTTTCATTGTGGTTGAGACAGACACTCATAGTTGACCTTCTGTTGGGTTTCTGGAGGCTGTAAATAACACCAGAGGAGACTGTCGATCTTTCTTCCATAGGCTGGTGCAGAGAGAGGCGCCAGAGAGGTTCAGCCTTTGAGTTAAGAGCACAAGTCCCTAAAGGCTCCACCCCCAAAGCTCTCTTCCCATATCCTGGGATTAGAATAGTGGTTGAGGATTACACTTGAAAGAACTCTGAACTCTCAGCCTTCAGCCCAGGCCCTGCTTTGACAAGGGCCTCACAGGACAGATGGATGGGTTGGATCCTGGACTATATGAGCTGGAGGTTATAGGTTAAAGGGGGGGGGGAGGAGGCAACAGAAAACAAGGTGGCCGGAACAAGAACTGCTTTTCCCATAGAAGCCCACCTACCCATACCTTTTGCCACCACTTTTGCCTCCATCCCACCCAACTTTCCAACAATGTCGAGGAGGCAATAGCCCACGGACTGCCAAAAGAACAAATAGGTATGTCTTGGAGAAGGTGCAGCCAGAGTGCTTCTTGGAGGCAAGGATGGTGAAGCTTCAGCTTCACCTACCTTGGGTATGTTGCTAGGAGAGACTAGTCCTTGGAGAGGGAAAGCATGCTTGGTGGAGGGGTCAGCAAAAGAGAGGAAGACCCCCAATGAGATGGATTGACATAGTGACTGTAGCAATGGGCTCAAGTGTATCAGACGTGATGAGGATGGCACAGAATAGGACAGGGTTCAGGATGGCTGTTCATAGGATCATTATGAGTCATATGAGCTCGATGGTACCTAACAACAACAACAACATGAGATTGCTTGGGTCAGTATTCCCACCTGCTAGGAAGGGTATCTGAAACTCTCAGCCTCAATTTCCTCCAAAAATAGGAACAATGATATCTTTTTCCAGAGGATATGATAATTGAAAGGTGACAGTGTAGGAAGCCCTCCACAAATGTTGTTTATGATGTATTCTGGGTTGAGGCGGGTGAGGTGGGGAAGAATTGAGCAGCTGGAGAAGAGAACACCAAAGAATTAAAAGACTTGAGCTCAGAGTGCACTGAGTTTGCTTTCTGGCTTACAAGACAAGATTTCGTTGTGGAATGATCCAGTGTAACATTGAGTCCAATGCTGGACTATGGGATGCAGACTCTTGTGAGAGACAGGTGTTGAAATAAAGAGACGATAGTAAGTGCTAGGGGAGTTATAGAGGGCTTCCTGGAGGGAGGGGCCAAGTGGTGCTTGGCTGTGTAACCTAGTTGGTTTTAGCAGACAGAAAGAAGTGGGGTAAAGCCAGGGCTTGTCTACTTCATGGAAAAGACTCATGTTGATGTTGATTTCCTAGAGCGAGTACGTTGGCGACCATGACAAGAGGCGTGCGTGGATGACAGGCTTCACAGGGTCCGCAGGTGACAGCTACCATACAGGCCACCCAACCAGAAGCATTGGCACGACTGGCTCGCATTAGCCCATACTCTAAGACCTAGTGTCCAGAGGCCCTGGCGACTCTCACTTGGCCTTCCCTTCACTGTCCCTTAAAAGGGTCTGTGTGGCAGGTGCCCCTTCAAGTCCCATAGCTCACAGCCCCCAAGCCACACTGCATCCTGAGGTCGATGGCCATTCCCACAGACTCCCTCTGCCACAGCCAGACACAGCCCAGCACTCCCTGGGCTCCATCCCCGGCTTTCCCAGCTGGTCCCCTCACGAGCTGTGTCACCCATGCGGCCAAATGTGGCACAAACATAGACGTCAGGCCTCCCACACTGGACCTGGTGACTAGAAAGGAATCCATGGCCCCCTTGTTGATTCTCAAACGTCCACATCCTGGGCTTCAAGTGGCCCAGCCTGGACCATTCCTCTCTTCCCAGAGTTACAAGGTTGGATTCCCCACCTCTCTGGCTCAGTGGCCCTATCAGCCACCAAGCCTTGACACTGAAGGCCATTGCCCCTGACAGCATCTTGGGTCTTTTGGCCTGCCAAAAGCCAACCTCACTCCTTTTCCTGCTAAATGTCTTAACCCCTCCAGAGGCCCCAAACCCACCCACAAAGCAGAGATGCCTGACCCAGCATGCCCTCTGCCCACTTCCCCCAAGGCTCTCTTTGACATCTCCTGCCTCACTTCCTTCCAATGGAGGCACGGGACTCTTCCCAGAGACCCCTTGTGACCCTCACAGAGCCAGCACTGTGTCACACATCCACTAACCAAAGCTAGGCCTCCTCATTTTCACCCTCACCCACCCGCAAGCTTCTCTGTTGTGGCCCAGGAATGGCTGTGGTGACGCTGGCGAAAGCCGCTCTCTGGACTGACAGTCGCTACTGGACGCAGGCTGAGAGGCAGATGGACTGCAACTGGGAACTCCATAAGGAAGGTACCCCGCACCCCGGAACCCCGACTAGGTCGCAGAAGGTTTGGGTGAGGCGTGCACACAAGACCAACGTGGGAAGTTCAGGAAACATGTGGCTGTCCCTAAGAATGTTATCAAGGAGGACACATGGCCAGCCTGTCACAGAGAGATGCTTAGCTAGAGGACCCGAGGCTGCCCTGGAAGTGACCTCTGAGTTTCCTTCCTGTCTTTCTCACAGTTGATACCATTGACTGGCTCCTTGAGGAGATTCCTGCTGGAGGGCAAGTGGGCTTTGACCCCTTCCTCTTCTCCATAGGTATGTTCCTCCCTCAGCCCCTGGAGGAGGCCAGGCCCCTGGAGGCAACTTGGCCTCCCTGGGAAGAAAAGAAACAAGTGTTGCTGGAAGGAGATTGTGTTGTGTTGTATGACTGGAAGGAAGGAGCAGGGGATGTTGCGGCCGCAGGTTTTACAACAAGAATATGTTAGTTGGTTGTTGCTGTGTCCCATCAAAATGGAACCAACCCATAAGTGACCCTCCTGTGGGTTTTCGGAGGCAGTTAATTGCATAAGAGATTGCCCATCTTTCACCTGTAGAACAGCTGGTGGATTCAAACTGCATACCTCTGTGTGGGCAGAGCAATTCCTTGCCACTAATCCACAGGAGCTCCTATGTTCATGAGCTGGGTAATGAAATTCTGTGTAAAAGAATGAAGGCAATCCCTGCTTAAGTCATGAGTGCAGAGACCCAACCTTGGAGGTTCAGAGCATGACCAGGCCAGGATGCCCTTGAGCCCAGCACTACACTCTGGGCCCTGGAAATCTACCACTTATGTCCTAGGACCACTTGGTAGTCTTCTGGAAGACAGATTAGTAGACTGCAAAGGGCTGGGAGAGCCTTTAAAGAGAGAAGCTCAACCCTGGGGGAATTCAGTTCCCTGAGCTCTGGGCTCCCAGTTTAATCGCCAACAGGCGGCCTCCCCCCCCGCCCCGCCCCGCCAGTGGTGTCTTCATAAATATGCATTGATAACCTCCTGTTTCAGAACTGGCTTCTTTGCCAGGCTGCCCAATGACCTGAGCATTGCATCGAAGAAGCCCCATTAGAATGGTTGGTACCCACGCTGGGCCCATTGACTGGGGATGGCACTGAGGTAGGCTCAGGGAAACTAGGCTTTGCAAGCAGAAAGTGGATAGTAAGAAGATCCAGCTCAGACCAGGGCAAGCACCTGAGGAGGGCCAGGCTGCTGGGGCAGGGTCTGAACAGCTGCGTCGGCCAGGACTGACTTCCCTGGGCTCACTCAAACGCCTCCTTCCTTGTCCTTGCAGACTCCTGGCAGACCTATGAACTGGCCTTCAGAGAGACAGACAAGGAGCTGGTATCCATCACCGACAACCTTGTGGATCTAGTGTGGGGGGCAGAGAGGCCCCCTGTTCCCAGCCAGCCGATTTATGTCCTGCGGGATGAGTTCACAGGTATTCCTATCCTCTGTTTTGGTGAGGTAACATGGGCCTCGCTGTGGCTCACAGGGCTGGAAGCTTCTTCAGAAGAGAGACTACAGAGGTGGCCTATCGGGCTTAGAGCACATGCAAGAACTGCATGGAGGCTGGCTAAAAACACAGATTTCTCGGTCCTTCCCCTGAGGAGGTCATAAAGGCCTCAGAACACATTTAGAAAACCCTGGACCCAAGAGTATTAAGGCAGGAAAGGATAGGGAACAGGAATGGAGGGAACAAGGGGGTAAGAAAAATCCCTTTAAAGAGAGAAGAACCGTGACTTTCCTGGTTGGTGGAGACAGATTTGATAGGGACCCAGTCAGAGCTTTACTTCCCATTCTTCTAGTGACAGGGAACATAGATTTGTGAGCTGAACAAGGGCAGGTGGATGGAGGGAGAAGGTGGCTCAGTCTGTAGCCGTGATTTCAGCTCAGGCTTTGACTAGAAAACAAACACACAAATAAAGTTCCTGAGGAGAGTTCCAAAAGAAAAATCCAGACAATTCTAACACCAACTGCTTTGACCTTGTTGGCCCTTGTAAATCTGTCACAAAAGAACATTGTGCTCTCTGATCCTTGTAAATTGTCGACAACGTTGTTGAGTGTGACTCACGAACTCTATGAACAACAGACCTGAACCCTGTCCTATTCTGTGCCGTCCTCATCATCTCTGACACACGGGAGCCCATTGCTGCAGTCACTGTGTCAATCCATCTTGTTAAGAGTCTTCCTCGCTCACTCTCTCTCTGACCTTTCCCAGCAAGAGGCCTTTCCCCCAGGAATTGCCCCTCCTGATAACATTCCCAAAGTGTTCTTGTAAGCAGTAACTAAAATCCTAGCTGAGACCAGCCTACTGGTTCGACAGCAGGACTGTGGCCTCTATCAACCTCATCACCCTGGAAATTCTCAAGAAGCCAGTGGACTTGAATAGCATTGGGCAATCTAAGAGGCCACTTCCCACACAAGCTCCATGCACATTTCTGGTTCAGAAGGGAATCTGTAAGGCAGGAGGGATATTTCAAAAGAGCAGGTATGATGAAACATATTACAATAGCGTTATCTGTTCTGATGTAACTGGCAACTGACAAAAGTGTTTTAAAGAAATGCGCTCTGCAGAGGTTGGAACAATGGTGCAGGATTAGACAGGCTTTGTGCTGTTTTGCATCTTTTTCTCTCTCAAGTAGGAATTGACTCTCAGTTGACAGTGAAGTGGGTTTTTCAAGACTGAAAATCCCCTCTGTCTCCCTGTTTTCCATAGGGCCAGTATAGGCTGGAGATAACTCAGTGGCACCAAATAATAACAAAGGGCATAGTGCATGTACCAGGAAAGTGTCCAAAATTTTAAGATGTAGGTCCTGAAATATATGTAGAGGTGAAATGATAGGATGTCTGGGATGTGGCAGGTGTTGCAAAATCTTATAAACTCCTGAAGCTTCCTTTTATTATCATCTTTGGTTTGTGTGTGTTCAAAATGTATCATTTTGAAAGTGTTTAATACTAGAAGTAATAATAGAGAAAGTAAAGATGTATATGAAATAGTCCATTGAACTTTGAGAAACAAAAAAAATTTAGCAAATGAAACTATGAATATAAAAGTATTGTGAGTTATTTTGAAAGTATTATACATGAATTTTCCTCATTAAACTAAAACTTACTTGGAAAAAAAAAGAACAAGAAAGAAATGGACTATCCCACACTGTGTTTGCACACAAAGAACAAACTCCATCGCATGCATGCAGATGAAAAGGTCACAGCGGTGTGGTTCTGAGAAGGGGTGGGGGTGAAAGGGAAACCCCTTCCAAGGGCCTGGGTTACTCAGTTCCACAAGTAAAGGGGTGCTGAGTAGTGACTGATGATAGGTTTCAAGGAAAAGCCCTCTAGAGCCAGACTAGGCTTGAAAGTGTAAGAAAAGAGTCCAGCTTAAATGAGTTAGAGAGAAAAGAAAAAATGTGGCTTTCTCCTTAGCCATCCACTGGCAGGTTTTTAAGGTAGGAGGAGATGGAAGGGAGAACCTGAAAAGTTAGTTACTCGAAGATACTTTGTATTCATCAGACAAATAGTCAAAGAGAAACGTGCAAACTCCCACAGAACTTGAAGCGGCCATGCAAAGCAAAAGAAGCCACACACTTGGATGAGGTAATTTAAATGTTTGGATGAGGTCATTTATATGAAATGTCCAGAAACAGGCAAGCTCCGAGAGACAGAAAGCTTGCTGGATGCTGGGATTTGAAGGGAGAAACTCTGGTAGTGTAGTGCATTTTGTGTTTTACTGCTCACTTAAAGGTCAGTGGTTCAAACCTACTGGGCTGCTCTGAGGGAGAAAAATGAACAATCTCTTCCTGTAAAGTCCCAAGGTAGGAACCCCAAAGGGGCAGTTCGATTCTGTCCTATAGAGTCACTGTGAGTCTGAATTGACTCCACGGCAGTGAGTCTTAAGTGAGGTGGAATGGAGAATGACTGCTAATGGGTGGGTACTGGATGATCAAGAAAGTGAATATATTTTTAGAAAAATGAATCCACTCTACTGAATTGCTAAGTGAACTATAACTCATAGCAACCTTATGAACAATGGATCCAAAATTGCCCTGTTCTTCACAATCCTCAGGACCTGTGATGTGCTCGAGCCTGTTGTCACAGTCATCGCGGAGGGTCTTCCTCTCTTTGACTCTCCACCTTCCCCAGCATATCTTTTTCCATCGACTGGCCCAGATGAAATGTCCAAAGTATGTGAGGTGACATTTCACCAACTTTGCCTTTCAGGAGCCCCCTAGTTGGACTTCCTCCAACACAGATTTATTTGTTCTTTTGGCAGTCCAGTCTGTTCTCTTCTGCAACAACACAATACTAAGGCATCAGTTCTTCTTCTGTCATCCTTAGTCATTGTCCAACTTTCAGACGCGAATGAAGCAATTGAAAAAACTGGGACTTGGATCAGTCACACCTTAGTCTTTAAACTGACATCCTTGCTCTTTAACACTTGGAGAGGTCCTTGACAGCAGCTTTGCCCAACGCAATGTGCCTTTTGATTTCTTGACTGCTTTCACCATGAATGTTGATTGAGGATTCAAGGAAAATGAAGTGACTGATAACTCCAATCTTTTCTCTCTCTAACAATGTTACCTATTGATCTAGTGGTGAGAGATTCTGTTTTATTGATGTTGAGATGTCATCCATATTGAATCCATACGATCCATCTTTGATCTTCTACAGCAAGTGCCTCAGGTTCTCCTTGCTTTCTCAGCAAGCAAGGTTCTGTCACCTGCGTAATGTAAGTTGCTAAGTTTTCTTCCAATCCTGATACTACATTCTTCTTCATAAGTTCAGCTTCTCGAATGATTTGCTCAGCATATGGAGTGAATAGGTATGGAGAACATACACAACCCTGATAACGCACACCTTTCCCAATTTTAAACTATGTACTGTTCTGTTTGCACAGCTGCTTCTTGGTCTATGTATAGGCTTTGCAGGAGCACAATTATATACTTTAAAACAATACATTTTCTTTTACGTGTCTTATACCACAATAATAAAGGAATCAAAATCCACCTTAGAAGAATATATCCTAGCCAAAGCTTTGTTTCTTGTTAAATAGTTATATCTATATGCATACAGTAATTTTAAATTGCCACCAAATCATCATATATGCCAATCAATGAGCCCAACTAAGTCCCTGGGTAGTGCAAGCAGTTAAGCGCTTGGCTGCTAACCAAAAGATTGAAGGTGCCAGCCCACCCATAGGTACCTCAGAAGAAAGGTCTGGCAATCTACTTCCAAAAAACCAGCCACTGAAAGTCCCATGGAACATAGTTCAGATTATACACACATGCGTGAGGTCACTATGACTCAGAAATGACTCGATGGTAACTGTTTGTTTGGGGTGTTTGGGTTTTTTTTGTGGGTTCCACTAGGATTCTTACTGCTTATGACCTCCAGCCAGCATATTCCTCACCCTGCCTGTTTATACACGGGGGCTTGTGGTTATAAAAATAATGGGACTCTTAAATAAATAGTGTTTAAGTAGAAGGCAAAGGGAAAAAATGAAAACCATAGTCCCAGAACTGGAATCCAAGCATGCGAGAAAGAATAACTCAGTGGCGTAGCTAAAGGACAGGTTTGAGAACTGCTGTGTCCGTGCACGTTACTTGTAAGTCTTTGACAAGGCCCTTGACTCTTCTGAAGCCTCTGTTTCTTTGTGCAAACTGGGACAAGTCAGGTATAAAATAATGCGCACGACGTGTTTCGTCCAGTCTAAATAAGCATTGGAGTTACTGCAGGGCAAAGGCTTAAACGAGGTCGCTGTCTTATCCTTTTGCTTGTGAAAGTGAACCGCTCTCCTGATATCTGTTCCACATGCTTAATTATTGGCCAGAAACTTAAACTAGCCTTACTACATGTCCAGGAGTTACTGAGTGGTAAAAATGATTACATGTTCAACCACTAGCTAAAAGGTTGGCAGTTCAACACCCTCTCTCCCCTACCCCCAAGACACCTTGGAAGATTGGCCTTTTGAAAACCTAGTCTTAAAATGCTATCAGACAGCCTCCTTTTCCATGTGGCCATAAGAACTTGATAGTACTTAATAACAGCAGTCAAAATATGTCTTCCTTGAGCATTAGGCTCCTTTAAGACCAATCTGTGTTGTTGTTAGGTGCCGTCAGGTTGACTACATGACTCACAGTGAGCCTGTGAATGACAGATCAGGACCTTGCCCTCTCCTGTGCCATCTTCATGATCTCCGTCAGGCTCAAGGCCATCTCGTGGATGGTCTTCCTCTCTTTCACTGACCCACTATCTTTCCCAATGTGGTATCTCTCCGTTCCTCTTGAAGATATACCCAAAGTAGTGAGGGAAGCCCTCACCATCCTTCCTCTAAGGAGCATGCTGGTTGCACTGTGTCCAAAACATATTTGTTCTTTCTTTTGACAGCCCATAGGATAGTCTTTCCCAACCAACACCACAATTCAAAGGCATTCGTCCTTCTTTAGTTCTCCTTAGCATTATTGTTCAGCGTGTCAGATATTTCCTTAAGAGGTTTTTCGACTCAATTGAGATACATCCCAGGTCATATTTTGGTTCTTGTGGACTTGTTTGTCATTTTCTTCAATGTCTATTTGAACTGACACAGGAGAAGCTCATCCACACAACTCAAAGAATGTAATCAATGTCCCTAAATGACACATGGGGAAACTGCAGAACTGGCATATGTCCTGTTGTGTAGATTCAGCAAACATCAGAAAATAAATTAAAAAGTTTAAAATCCTGGGGTCGCCATGAGTTGGACTTGACTTGGTGACAATTAATAACAACAACAACAACAATTGGCCCAAGATCCTGTGTACCATACAAATAGTATTTCATGTGACCATGATATCAATCTCATAGAGGTAAACACTATTATAATCCATCCTTATTTCACAAATTAGCAAAATGAGGCACAGAATATTTGTACCCCATTATGAAAATGACACCATTTATGCTAAATACAAGCCATCAGAGCTCTCTAATTAAAAGCTAGAGGGAAAGAAATATACAATGTATTTGCTTTGAAGTATAGAACTTGAAACAGTGGGTTTTCAGAGACAGTAAAACTCACGGAAGGAGATTGTCCATCCTTCTCCCATGGAGCAGGTGATGGATTCAAACACATGCCTCTGGGATTACAGTGCAGCTTCTTACCACTAGGCTACCAGAGCTCCCTCATTAAAAAGTAGGGGAAAGGAAATATATGGTGCGTTTGCTTTCAAAGGCATTAAAGAACTTTGGTTAAGCCAGAAGCAGAAATGTTCGTTGCATCAGAGAAAAGGGACTAGGTCGTTCAAGGTCAAGGAATATTTTTCTTGTTCCTTTTATAATTTTGACGCACGTGAGCTACTAGAAAAGAAATTAAATTGACATTAAAAGAAGCTAGGGGAAACTGAGACACAGAGAGGTTAAGTAACTTTCCCAAGGTTACCCAGCCTGTGATGCAGAGCCCAGATTTGAACCCAGTCTGGTTCCAGAGCCCATGATGCCTTTAACAACTATACAAGTGTTGTTGGAAGAAGGGGTTCCACTGCTTTTCTGAGTCTCCCTCTAGGTGGGGCCAATAGTCTGCCCTTCACTGCTAACGTTGGCAGTCCAAACCAGCCCTAGCAGTACCAAGGAAGAAAGGCTTGGTGATCTGCTTCTGTGAAGACTACAACTATGAAAACTCTGTGGACAAGTTCTACCCTGTAACACGTGGGGTCTCCACGGGTTAGAATTGAGTCAGTGGTGGCTAACGACGACACCAAGGGATCCCTTCTCGAAACAGAGAGCCAGAGGGATGGTGTGGAGGGGTGTGTGTCCATGATGCATTCTTTGAGCTGCTTTACTTCTAGGGAGCACCTGGCAGGAAAAAGTCTCTGACATCCGCCGCCAGATGCAGAAGCATCACAAGGCCCCGACGGCTGTCCTCCTGTCAGCGCTTGATGAGACAGCCTGTGAGTATGGATTTATGGACACAGGTGGTCCTCCAGCCCCTAAACCTCGTGGGCTTCCCTAGAAACAGCCCTGCACCCTCGTATTTATGACAGTTCTGTGGTCATGACCTGTGGGAACTAAGGTTCAGAAGTGTATAGAATAAGGAAGAAGCCAGGGGAAAGTGGGGCCAGCCTACAGGCCACCAGAGAAGGGTGGCAAAGTGCTTCTGTCCCATTAAGGATGAGAAGAGCCACAAACACCTCCCGGCTGCCTGGCCACTTTACCAAGCACTCATGCACCCAGTTTATCACCCAAGCATCCCTACTCTTTCCCAGCATGTCCCAACAGGGCTCCTTACCTGACCTTGATGGCTGGATTTTGAGAATTGTGGGGACCCACTGAGACTGCCTGCTGATGAGTTAACCCCACCATTTTTTGGGAGGGGAACCCACCAGCTGCTCTGTGGGCGAAAGATGGTCAATCTCCTCCCTTGCAATTGAAAGCCTCTGAAAACCTACTGGAGGGTCAGTTCTGAGTCTGTTCTCACTCGAAGGCAGTAAGTTGAGTAAGAGGGGGGAGCATCCTCAGTCTCACCAGCTCCTCACAGACACTGAAAAGCGCTCAGAGGCAGAAGATGCAGGTGTGCTGCTGGGGAGTCTTTTGGGGACAAAGCCAGAAATGCTCACACAGAACAATTCTCAATAGTCCATCAACTCTGCTCCCAGGGCTTTTCAACCTTCGCAGCAGCGACATCCCATACAACCCCTTCTTCTACTCCTACACGCTGCTCACCGACTCCACCATCAGGTACAGCGTTATTGTCATGCCCTGCTGACATGGAGCTACTCCAACTCCCCCCTCCTCTCTAGCCAGCCACTTACCCCACCCAGCTGCAGCTTTGGGGCTGTCTGTGAGCTTGGTGCCTGCCCTCAGCACCACCCCCCTGGAAGCTTCCAAAGTCTACTCCTGACCCCTTGACCCTTGCTGTACTTGTGCCCCAAGTCTGCTTGGCTTGGCTTCCTGGTGCTGGCTTCTGGGGGGCCTCCAGGTGCAAGGGACCTCTGCTTCTCATCATTGGCCCCGCCCCTGGCCCTGTACGGAATCTGGGTACCTGTTGCCCTTACAAAGTCCTCAAGACCCTTCTCGTCTTCCCTGCCCACCTAGGCTGTTTGCCAACAAGAGTCGTTTTAGTTCTGATACACTACAGTCCCTCAACTCCGGCTGCACGGGTGCCATGTGTGTGCAGATTGAGGACTACAGCCAAGTCCGAGACAGCGTCCAGGCCTACGCTGCAGGGGATGTGCGCATCTGGATTGGGACCAGCTTCACTACATATGGCCTCTATGAAGTGATACCCATGGTAAGCTGCCAGACCCAGTCAGAGCCAGGCTCCCTTCCAGCCCTACTGAGTCTCCCCCTAAAATGAGACCAAAGACCCTTGACCATTCCGTCAATAGAGATATCAGTAGTTGTGCAGTTAACTCCATAGAGGCCCCATGGAGAGACAAGAGGAGAGGAAGCAGGTATGTCTGTCCCTAGCGAGAGCTGACAGATTGTCAAGGGTATGTAACCGATCCTGGGGGAGGCCTTGGGATCAACTTCTGTTTCTTTACCTGTAAACTGGTACTAAAAGTCCCAGACTCATAGCAGTGTCCTCTAGGAGCTTAAAAGGGGAGAGTGTAGTTGAGACATGGCAGCTGGTAAACAGAAGACACTTCACAGATGGTGGCTCTTAGGACATGTGTGGGGAATTTACAGTTAGAACAACCCACTGATGAGTGCCCACTGAGAGAGTTGAGTGATGGGGTGGAGAGGAGGCATGAACACCCTCTCAGGCATAAACACCCTCTCAGGCATAGTGATGTTTAAAGGATTGTAAAAGAATGTGGCTGGCATGGGGACAGGCTGCGTCTGACCTCCACTAACTCCTCAAGGGGGATTAGTCCCCACGAACAACATCCACACCACAGAATTTATTCTTATGAGATCAGACATGCCCCTACAACTCTTGATACCTACTTCTACTAATTCTAACACCACCTGTCTCTTCCAGGGCTCTCACTACTCTTAGTCCACTAGTCCGTTGCAATGGTCACACAGAACTCATAGACCATAATCATGATTGCAGGATTTATTAGGGAAGTTAACAGGTTACAGGTAAGGTTGGAAACAGGACACAGTTCTTCAGTCAGGACAGCTTCTCATGCCACCTTTCAGGCCCTTTGGCCTTCAGGCTTGTAGCTTTAGGCGAGCGTCACTAAGCTCTCTTAACCCTGTCAGTCACGGCATCTCCCCACCTCTTCCCACTCTATTCCTCCATTAGGCTTGCTCGAAGGCCCTGGCTCTGGTTCTCCGGGACAGCAGTCCCCAGTCTGCTCTGTCTCACAGGACTCTTGTTTTCCATTGTTGCTGCTGCTGTTCTCTTCTAGGTCCCAGTCTAAGGAGTGCAGGAATCCCTAGTCGATATGGGCACACGCTGCAGTCTGCGTTGTTTCTTTCTTGCAAGATTCCCATTTTCTGCTGCTGAACCTGCAGGATGGCAACACTAACCCATCCCGTCATTAGCAGTCTACATACCTTGTTTGCATGTTTCCAAAGATACTATCCATGTCAATCACATCATTAGCGTAGCCCCATCCAACCATGTAACACAACGCAAAGCTGATACAGCAGGGCAGCTGTTTTGAAATAGCAGTCTACACCACAATGGCCAGGCAGGCAGTGCCAGGTCAAGGGAGCCTGGTCATTCCCTGCTGGGCAATACCCTTTCCTCTGGTGCTGCAAATCTTTTCCAGTCTTTTACTTGCAGCTTTGCTCACTGCCCCACCATCCAGGAAGGCTTCCTGGATTCATGCTGCTCTGCTTGGTGACTCACTCCCTGCCACTGCATCCCACCAGTGCTCTAGGGGGTGGGTTCCAGTCTGGGAAGGTGCTTCAACGCCACCTCTTCATCCTCCCACTTTCCTCTCTGCCTTTGACAGGAGAAGCTCGTGGCTGAGTCCTACTCCCCTGTGATGGTAACGAAGTCGGTGAAAAACAGCAAGGAGCAGGCCCTCCTCAGGGCCAGCCATGTAAGTCGGCCTGCAGACAGACCAATGTGCAGGGCGAGAAAGGGAATCCTTCCGGTGCATCCTGAGCAAGACCTGCAACGAAACAGAGACATGGACACCAGACTCCTGGGCAACCCCCCTGCACCTCACCCCTTACACACAGAATTGGGGCTGTTGTTAGGTGCCATGGAGTTGGCTGACTCATAGTGACACCTTTGTTTTTGTTTTAAATTTTTATTTTCTTTTATTATTTTATTTGTGTGTACCGTCAAATAGGATCTGACTGGTACAGGAGCAGATTGCCCCTCCTTCTCCAGCAGAGCATCTGGTGGATTCAAACCATGTACCTCTGGGATTGCAGTGAAGCTTCTTACCACTAGGCCACCAGAGCTCCCTCCTTAGTGACACTTTGTACAACAGGACAAAGCCCCACTTGGCCCTGCACTGTCCTCACAGTGGACTGTGCGTGCGCTCACGTTGTATGCACTGTGTCAATCTATCTCAGTGAGGGTCTGCCTCTGTTTCTGTTGATCCACTTTTACCAAAGGAGCCCAGGTGGCAGAGTGCCTAACATACCTGTCTGCCAACTGGAAGGTGGTTCCGATCTGCAAGCCCTTCCAAGGGAGAAAGATAGAGCTTCTCCTCCCGTAAAGATTTACATCCTCAGAAATGTGACGAAGTGATCACTGTGGGTTAGAACTGACTCAACAGTGGTGGGTTTACGCTTCACCAAGTGTGATGTCCTCTTGCTAACTTGTCCAAATACAATGGTTTAGCACCTGGGCCCTAGAGCTGGGGTCTGTGAGTTCAAACCCCAACTCCATCCACTGCTTCAAGTGGGTTCAACTCTTTGGTCCTTGGTTAGCTTATCCATAAAAAGGGGGTTGTGACATTAAACGGTGGCACAGAGTTGCTGTAAGGAGTAAATGAGCGAAAACACTGCTGGTACATTCGGTGTTGAGTCAGGTAATTTCCATGCCCCGCCGAGGAGATGACTCACATTGTTTAAAGTTGTTGTTAGGTGTCATTGAGTGGACTATGGCTCATAGTGACCCTATGAACAACTCCTGTGGCAATCAGGATTGTTATTTGCTGTCAAATCAATTCCAGTTCACGGTGACCCTAGTGTTTCAGAGTAGAAATGTTCTCTGGGGATTTCAAGGCGGTACTCTCTATGTAAAGGTGAGCCCTTGGTGACCTAGTAGGAGAAGCATTCAGCTGCTAGCCAACAGGTCAGCATTTCAAACCCACCATCCACTCTATGTGGGGAATAGATGAGGCAGTGTCCTTCCATTAAGATGTATAGCCCTGAGAATCCCCAAGGGGGCAGCTCCACTCTGTCCTACAGGGTCGCTAAGAGTTAGAATTGACTCAGTGGCAGTGGGCTTTGGGTCCATCTTTACAGAAGCAGGTTGCTGGGCCTGCTTGCCTTCTGAGGCACCTCGAGGTGAGTTTAGACCGCAGACATTTCAACTAGTGGTCACGTGCCTGAGCTTTTGCACCATCCAAGGATTCCTTGGGGGGGGGGGGAAGAATCAGGATAAACCACATTGCCTTTTAAAATTTCATCTTATAAAAAAATTGTAAACATATATTGTTGTTGTTGTTAGGTGCCATCTACTCAAGTACGAACCATAGCGACCCTATGAACAAAAGATCTGAACCCTGTCCTGTCCTGCACCATCCTCACACTTCCTGACACATTAGGGCCCATTATGGCAGTCACCTTGTCAATCCACTGGTCGAGGGTCTTCCTCTCCTTCACTGACCTTCCACCCTTCGCAGCATCACGTCCCTCTCCAAGGAACAGCACTCCTAACAACATGCCCAAAGTATGTGAGGTGAAGCCTCATCTTTGCCTCCAAAGAGCACTCTGGCTGCACCGTCTCCAAGACACACTTATTTATTCTTCTGGCCATATTCGGTGCTCTTCTCCATCGCCACAGCTCAAAGACATCAATTCTTTGTCTGTAGTTAGGAACCTCTCCGAATTATTGAGGAGTAATGATGTCAGGTTGAGGACTAAGGTGTGTCTGATTCAGGCCATCATCCTTCTAATCACTTGCTATCCCTCTGAGAGCTGGACAATGAATAAGGTATGTTGCTATGTGCCATCAAATCAGGACCAACTCACAGCTGACCCTCTAGTGAGTTTTCAGAGCAGCTGGCAGATTTGAACCACATTACTTTGGGTTGACAGTGCAATTCCTTACCACTATGCCACCAGAGCTCCTTTATAAACATATAAGAAAGTAAAAGAGTAGCGTCATAAATGCCCAAACACCCATCAGCCCAATTCAAAAGCCATCAACTCATGGCCAACTTAATTTCCCCTTCATCAAAGTGCATTTGCAGATCCTGTGTTTCTTCCTCAATACTTCAGTATCTCTAAAAGGTAGGACTCTCTGAGAAACATAGCTGTAACACTGCAGTCATAAATACAAACATTAACAAGAATCCCGTAACACCGTCAACTAGACAAGAAAGTGTTTGTGGTTTTCAAGCTTCAGCCCCCAGGTCTTCAATATCCCTGAGCTCGCACTTCAGCCTAGTTCTCTCCTTCTCCCATTTCCAGGTGCGGGACGCCGTGGCCGTAATCCGGTACTTGGTCTGGCTGGAGAAGAATGTGCCCAAAGGCACAGTGAACGAGTTCTTGGGGGCGGAGAGGGTGAACAAGCTCCGACGGTAAAGAACTATCACTGTCCTTTTGGTGTGGGAGTGGGAGCGGTGGCGCAGGAGTCCTTGGGTAGTGAAATGGCTAAAGTACTGAGCTGCTCACTTAAAAGTTGGAGGTTTGAGTCCACCCAGAAGCACCTGGGAAAAAACAATTTATATTCTACTTCCAGGGGAAAAGAAAAAAAATATCTGCTGTTCCATACAAAATCACTGTGGGCCACAGGTCCACTCTGAGGCTCATGAGGTTAGAAGGAGTCAGAATCTTTTTTTTTTTTTTCAGTTGTGCTGCATCTCTTCCTTATCTGAATTGGTCCTACTCTGCATGGGTTTTTGGGTTTTTTCTTTTTTACATAGAGTTAAAATTTATTAGAATTGTATCTTTTATGCATTTTCTAATCCAAGTATCAACATCACACTAGAGTTCTTTATAAACTACTCTGTATGCACTATGAGACAGCTCTAAGTGGCAGAGTCTATAATTGGTTAAGCTGCTAACTGAAAATTGACATTCTTTGAATGATTCAAATCTACCATCAACTCCACAGGAGATAGACAATCTCCTTCCATGCAGTGAAAACTAGAGAGTCAACTATGAGAATGTTGTGACTCGACAGCAGTGAGTTATATGCATTGATTATCATATAACACACCAGAACCTAGTGCTTCTCTCTTAAACAGTTATGACTAAAGTACAAACGGGAAGAAGCGACAGTTGACATCAGAGAGCGTTTAAATACAGTAATCAGAATATACAGTGGGCCCATGGAAGCATTACTGTATTAAAAGAATGTCATCCTTTGACTTTTATACTGACTATCAAGAATACAATCCGTGCTCGCTTCGGCAGCACATATACTAAAATTGGAACGATACAGAGAAGATTAGCATGGCCCCTGCGCAAGGATGATACGCAAATTCGTGAAGCGTTCCATATTTTTTATTCTACTTTATTAGCAAAAAAAGGAATACAATCCATTTTTTAAAAAGATAACCCTCTTCCCAATTATACAGCTAATGCAAGATCACTGCCATTTTATGAAAAGCCAGTTATAGATCAGATTTTTAAACTTTCTGAAAGCAGACTGTGGTATGTACCAGTTTTCCTTTTTTAAAAAAAATTAGTACATCTAATGTATTTTATTTTCTTTTTTCTTTTCACTAGTTTATTTACAAAATTCTAATACAAATTTGAACAAATTCTTTCCATTTCCCTCACCCCCCTCACCCATCAAATTATGCAACCCCATGATTAATCCCCACTCCCCCCCAGCACATCCTCATCCCTCAGCTTCCACCCTCTCCCACCCCTCCTGGATCCCTATACTCATTCTACAATAATGGTCTTATACAATATTTATCCTTGTGGGACTGAGTTCATTCACTCAGTATAAAGCTCTCCAGTCCCTCCCAAGTTAGGTAGTAATTTACAAAATCATTGCTCCTGCATGCTGCATAGTATTCCATTGTGTGAATGTACCATACTTTCTTAATCCATTCATTTGTGGTTGGACATTTGGGCTGTTTCCATGTTCTTGCGATGGGGAGTAATGCTGCTATGAACACTGGTATACAAATCTCAGTTCTCATTTTCTCAGGGTATAGTCCTAGTAGTGGAATAGCTGGATCATATGGAATTTTTCTGTGTTCAGCTTTTTGAGGAAGCACCATACTGCCTTTCAGAATGGTTGCACCATTTTACAATCCCACCAACAATATATTAGAGTTCCTTATATTTATTTTATTTTATACTGCTTTACATACAAAATTCCTATACATTGTGTTACATTCATATACATTGTGTTTCACACATTCCTGCCTTCCTTCGTTTACATTGTAATTCATACGATCATTCCCATAGTATTTTATAAAATTAATCACCATTGGTCTATGCCTGCTATCACCCTATCCTTTCAGATTCCCATTGGATCTTTTCTAATTCCTTCACCCTTGCCCACCAAACACAGTCCAAACGTCCATCCAACGATGACTGGATTGAGACATTGTGGTACATTCATACGATGGAATACTATGCAGCAGTCAAGAGCAACAATTTAAAAAAACACTATATCACATGGGAGAGGCTAGAGAGCATTACGTTGCATGAACTAACTCGGACTCATAAGGACAAGTACTTACTGCATACTGCATAAGCCCATTATTGTAAAAACAGAAGGATAACTAGTAAGATGTGCATACAAATCCAAAGGAGGAAGGGAAGGGAGCGGGTGAAATCACAGGGTGTCAGGCAGAATCAATTTTGCAGTCTGTTTGGTTGTGTTCTGTAGCAGCCAGGGAAGGTGGGAGGAAGCATTGGTTTTCTTTGGTTATCCTATTTAAGAAGGAAGACAATTTCTTGTGTATTTGGGGAACTCTCTGGAACAAGAAGTAATCAGTTCTTGGGTAGTGGGAGAGTCAATGCCCACTTAAAGTGGGACAACTTGAAGGGCTATGACTCAGCAGCGCCCCCTGGTGTCAGTTTCAGACATGGATTGGCTCTCCCTGGGGAAGGCTGACAGGGTTCTCAGGGTCAACTCTGCCCCTGAACCACATCAGACTATCATGTTGGGGACAGAACCCACTTGGTCTAGACTGTGGAAAGACTGCAGGTTAGAGATGCCTTGCTCAGAGAGCAGTGTGCAATATGTGGGCCTTGGCTTTCCCATCTGTGAAACAGAGGTGAAGAGGGAATAATCTATGTCCACTGCACCTTCTTTCTCTGACGTGGAGTGCTCTGTGACAAGATGGGGCTTGGGGAGATGGAAACAGGAGGTGAGGCTGAGGGGACTAAGTCAAGTCAGCTCTAGAGCGAGTCCCTAAGCTCCACTGCTCTGCTCGGAATAGTCACTCATTGTTCCCTGTTCCTGCCTGTGCCCTCCAGTGAGGAAGTCTTCTCCTCAGGACCCAGTTTTGAGACCATCTCTGCAAGTGGCCTGAATGCCGCCCTGGCCCACTACAGGTACCTCAAGAGAAAGAATTTTCTAGAGCCCTGTGGAGGGGAGGGGGAAGGAATGCTCTGGGACTATTTCCAGTTTAAGGCCTTTAGCACTGTGAGGACTGGGGTGGGGTCAGGCTGGAGCTCAGTCTGGGGTTAGAAGTCTCTTAAAAATGATAAAGCCTAAGTGCAACAATGAATGACTGGAAACCCTAAGTCTCCTTAAACTTTCATTAAATTAATTTTTTAAAAAATGATAAAGTCTGAGAGACCTATTCCCCTCCAAAAGCCTGCAACTTGGAGAGCACTTGGAGTCGAAGGATCTGGAAGGGAGGCAGAGATATGCTTGGGTGCTTTTCCTCAGCATGCAGTCAGTTAGTTAGTTATGTTAGCTAATTCTTTTTTATTAATAATAATAATAATAATAATAATAATAATTTTAATGAAAGTTTACAGAGACTTTGGATTTCTATTCATTCATTGTCGCACTTTTCTCCCTGCCCACCCCAGTTAGCTAATTCTTAAAGTTTACAAGCACCTGTAGAGAAAGACCTGTGCCCTCAGCCTGACCGGCCATAATGGGCCCCAGAGGTGGGTTAGCCAGATGTTTGTCCTCAAAAAACAAATGCCTGAAGACTTGATGAAATTAGGAGCGACATGGAGGGGCTAGGGGGTGCCAAGCTGGCCAGATGCCTCCACCTGGCACAGGGACATTAGGGAGAGGGTGAATGCTCCCCAGGGGATGGCCTAGCGTGGTCCAGAATTCTCTCCCAAGCTCCCCTAGCCCTGCCCAGCCCCTTCTCACCAGAGAGCAGCAGGGTAGGTCCTCTGTACTACCAACTCTTGCTTCTCAGCTTCACTCTCAGGGGGAATTTTTAAACATATCAATGTTAAGTCCAGGCCTCCCTTTCTGTGGCCTAGCTTTACAGGTCCCCTCTGCTCTTGGAGAAAGCCGACAGGAAGTTCTAGAAAGAGTGCTGGCCTGAGGCTATAAGACCTGTGTGTAGGCCCTCTGCATCCCTCCTCACCTGCGGGATCTCTCATATGTCCCTTTGGTCCCGTGGGCTGGCCGCTCCTTATGTAGGAAGTGGCTGGACTGGACAGTCTCTACGAGGTCTTCTGGCTCTTGCCTTCTGGGCTCGTCCCTTTAGCTCCTCTCTGGGGACCAGGTCCTTGCTCTGTGGGGTCCTGGGAGCCTACCGGCAGGATAAATGGGCTTGAGCTGAGGACTCTAGCAACAGAAGTGGAATGGCTACCTAGAGGCCTCTGGGAGATACTGACTTCCAGAATGGGTTAACTAGGAAGCCACCCCCAGGGGTAAGGAGCTTGCTTCTCTGCTGTCACTCAGGAGACCCACCCTAACCAGGGCCTTTCTCAGCTTTCCCTCTCCTCTCCAGCCCCACCAAGGAGGTGAACCGCCAGCTGTCTGCCAACGAGGTTTACCTGCTGGATTCTGGGGGACAGTACTGGTACGTTCTCCCCAGCCCTGCCCCAGCCCTGCTGTCTTAGCTCAGATACCCAGGTACCAAGCCCATCAGCTGGGCCAAGAAAGGCCAAGAGCCTGCTCATGCTTTCCTGCCTGGGAAAAGGCAAGGCCTAGATCACATACGCTCTAAATAATCTTCCTATGTCTACACTGGTGGGATCAGATGAGCTCTAAACAGTCTTCCCATGTCTATACTGCTTGGGAGACCTTGAGTGATGCAAACCATCTAGCAATCAAGTGCTACATAAAAAGCAGGTGCTATGAATCCACTCAGAGGAGCCACAGAAGAAAGGCCTGGCAATCATCTTCTAAAAAACCAGCCACTGAAAACCCTGAGGATCACAGTTCTATTGTAGCACACAAGGTCACTGTGAATCGTCGACAGTAGCCGGTCTGAATCCCTTCGTGGAAGAAACACACAGAGACCAGAATAGGGAGTAGGGTGTGCTGCCCATGCTATGCCTGTGTGAGAATTAGGAAAACTCTCCTTCATCTAGGAAAAGGGTTTGCTAGGTTTGCATATTACTGCACAGTCTGAACAACCACACTCGGGGCCCACCAGGCTGCAAAGACAGGTGCCCGTCTTCTCACCCATTCATGCATGCCCTGGACACAGCCCATACACCACCTGCCCTGTGCACACTCCCCAAACCCTCCCCTACTCCGCAGGTGAGGTGACAAGACAGGTTGGGGCAGCAGAATCAGGCCTGTGAGAAGCAGCCTCTGGGGACGTCCAGGGCACATCCACTAATGTGGCTATGTGTGAGACGAGAGCCATGTGCACACTCTTCTGTGTACACACACATGAGTGGGGCCTTAGGTAGGAGGGATTGCTCCCCTGCACCCAGGAAATCAAACCAAACCCACCATCATGGAGTAGATGCTGACTCATAGTGACTCCATAGGACAGAGTAGGACTGCCCGTAGGATTTCCAAGGCTGAAAAGCTTCATGGGAGCAGTGTCTCTCTTTCTCCTGCAGAGGCGCTGGTGCATTTCAACCAGAATTTGTTTCAGTCAGCAATCCAGTGATTAACCCCCTGTGTCCTTAGGGCCCCACCACCCAGGTGCTTTCACTGGTACTAGCGTATAATAAATAATAGGATCGCTTGTACAGTGTCCAACCTGAACACTCAGACGTGACCACCTAGCAGATCAAGCTAACCCTGCACCTTGTGAATGTGTGATCAGTCATTCATACCGAAGCAGAGCTGATCTGAATGATTCGTCAGATCTAAGAAGCATCTAAGGGAGCTCTCTGGTTCGAATCCACTAGCTGCTGCATAGGAGAAAAATGGGCCAACTTCTTCTGTGTGGTTTACTGCCTCTGAAAACCTGCCAGGGGGTTAGTGATGAGTTGGTCCTGACTCGACAGTACCCACCAACAATAACAACAAAAAGCATCTGAGAAGCAAGTGGACCATGAAAAACTTGGGGTGAGACAGAGGAAGGGGGTACTGGACTGATGAAGGAGTAAGCAATAGCGTTAGACTGACTCCCAGCCTCTGCCATGTGGAAGGAATCACTGAATGGTTTTAATGATTGAGTCATGTGGCTACTTATCTAAAGGTCAGAGGTTCGAACCTACACAGAGATCCCTCAGATGAAAGCTACTTTCCCAACACCAGCCCTTGAACACCCAGAGGAACACAGCTACTCTGACTCAACACAGGAGTTTGCCCAGAGTCAGAATCAACGCCATGACAACCACAAAAACTCCCTTGGAAGGGGTGAATGTACTAAAATGGCAAAGGCTCTGGACTTGATGCAGTCTGGGAGCCAGCGTGGTGGTGGTGCTCCATTTAGCAACCTTGGCTTGTGCCACGTGGCCGATGCACAAAAGGGAAGTGAATTTGTGGGGGCGTTGCTGGATCTGAGGCATGCTTAGAGCAGGGTGAGAGCGAGGAAATGGCCACCTCGCTTCCTCTTCTCTCCTTCTGAAAAGGTTGGCAAGCCTTGTGACCTGCTCCCAGGGAGGAGCTGAGGGCCCTGGGGCCATTTCTCCTCTCCCCTTGCTCCCCAGGGGGCCGCATCCCTGCAGCCCTGGCTCATTGGGAGTCGGAGTCTTTTTTGCCTTTGGCTCACCATGACTCTGAGTAACTATATTGTTGGATCAGATCCCCATTCACCCTGGCCTGTGTGGAGAGCCAGGCTTGGCTTCAGAAAGGCCCCAAGAAAGAACTGGCCTCCTGACCTCGATAACCTTCTCTGTGAAATGGGAATCATGGAGGCCACTCGGCTCCCCTTCCCCTAGAAGAGAGGGGCTGCAGAAATTGTTCTAGAAATGGTAAAGAGTGATCTGAATGAGTGGGGAGGTTACGATCATGTGATCTCTCTGGACCTCAGTTTCCCCATCTGTGAGAAGGGACAGGCTGGCCTGCTTCCCAGGGAGCCTGTCAGAAGCCTTGCTTTTAGAACTAGCTTCATCCAAGTGCATCTGGATTTACAAAACCTCCATGGAGGGAGGTTTGTGAGGTAGACACGTAAAGGAGGGAGGGATTGACAACACGGAAGTTTTGAACTTGAGAACCATGGGGATTTTGATGGTGGTAGCTAGCTTCTTCCATCTGCCCCCATCTCACCCCAAGTCCTGGCCCTGTCGTCTAAAGCCTGATGGAAACCCCAGGGCCTGAATCTCTACCCTTAAGTGTCTGGCAAAGCTGGACATGGTGGCACCCTCTTCAACAGGGATGGCACCACGGATATCACCAGGACAGTTCACTGGGGCACCCCCACTGCTTTCCAGAAGGTAAGCATCAGACCTCCAATTTCTCCTACCCACCCTCTCCCAAGGGGACCCAAGCAATCGCTCTATCCAGAGCCCTTTCATTTTAGAGGCTACAGTTTGTTGTTGTGGTTATTGTTGTTGTTGTTGTTGTTGTTATGTGCCATTGAGTTGCTTGCGACTCATAGCAACCCTGTATGTACAAGAGCCCTAAATGCCGCTCTATCCTGTGCCAACCTCACTGTCTCCAACACACTCACTCCCACCACCCCAATCACAGAATTGGTCCATCTCATTGAGGGTTCTCCTCACCTACGCCGCCCCTCCACTCTCCCAAACATGACGTCCCTCTCCAAGGATCAGTCCCTCCTTGCAACAAGCCCAAAGTATGTCAGACAAAGCTTCAGAATCCTTGACTCCAAGGAGCATTCCGGCTTCACCCTCTCCAGGACAAACCTGTTTGTTCTCCTAGCAGTCCATGGTATATTCAATGCTCTTCTCCAACACCACAGCTCAAAGGCATCAATTCTCTTTCTATCATCCCTAGTCACTGTCCAACTCTCCAATGCACATAATTGCGAAGACTATAGCCCAGATCAGGCGTACCTTAGTCTCCAGCCTGATGTTGTTGTTCTTCAGTACTCTTGAGAGATCCCTGACAGCTGACTTTCCCAATGTAATTCATCTCTTGATTTCCTGGCTGCTGGTACCAAGAGTGTTGACTGTGGCCCACACATTTTAAAACCCACTAATATCAAGTCTACTTCCACTCCTAGCAATGCTAGTGGACAAGCTTTCCCCTCTCAGTTCACCAAGGCTGTGTGTCTTTACAAGAGCAGGCTGCCTCACTATTCTCCTGCAGAGTGGCTAGGGGGTTCGAACCTATGACCTTTTGGTTAGCAGCCCCATGATTAACCTACTGCGGCTACCAGACCTCCTTCAAACTGGGACCCAGTTCCTAGTTTGGGCCATAAGGGTTTTTTTTCCTTTATGGACACCTCCAGTCTCATGTTCCACTACTGTCTTCTGTAACCCCCTGCCCTAGTCTAGCAGTTTCCAACTTGGGGAAACAAGTGGGTTACTGAGTTCTATGTACTCACTTTTTACTGAGAAGCCATTGCTATGAGGTGCCCTTGATTCAACTATGACTCATAGCAAGCCTATGGACAGCTGAGCTGAACTTTGTGCTACACTCATCATCTCTGATACATTCCAGCCCACTGTTTTCTAAAAACAAAACCAAACTGGGGCCCAGAGCAGATAAATGGTTTGCCTAAGGTCCTATCAGTATTGCTGGTGTCCAGTGCCTGTCAAGCCAATTCTGACTCATAATGACCTCATGTGTGCAGAGTAGAATGGCTCTTAAGGTTTCAAACCTGCCACCTTGAGGAAGCAGATCACCAGGCTTGGCTTCCTAGGCATTTCTGGCTAAGTCCAAACTGTCAATGTTTTGGTTAATAACCCAGCATTTCACCAATTACATGACCCAGTGACTCCTGCCCTTCGTGTTGTCAGCCTTCTGTCTTCGTATTTTGCATCTCATGGGGACAGAGGCTGTGTTTTGCTTGTCATTCTTCCACTGCATTAACTACATTTTGTCCCCAAGCCCAGCACTCCTGGTGTTTTCTCAAGGCATTCAGAAGGTCGCCAGCTTAGCGTTGGCCCAACTTATCCCAACTCAACAGCCTCATGGACACATCTTTGTTTAGATCTGTGTGCTTAGTCCTCTGCCAGGTGCAAAGGGGGCAGAAGACAGCAGCTGAGAAGGAAGGAAGGAGGACACCATGCAGGAGCAAAGTCCAGGGGTGGCAATAGGCAGGAGGTTTGTAGAAAGTGCTGCCCCACAGGAGAAGGAAGGGCAACTCATCTCGTGCCACTTACAGCCTCTGAAAACTTGCTGGAGAGTCAGCTGGGAGGCAGTTCTAACTCGATGACACGCAACAATGCAACTCACTGAGAAACTGGCAGTTTGAATTCATCTGATGAAAGTGCTAACTTGCCTTTGAGTGTCTCTGTTTGAAGCAACTTACGTGCATTGCCATACAAAATCCTACCAAAAAATCTGAGAGCTCGGTGCTGTTAGCATCCCATCCCAAATGTGGAAACTGAGGCATGGAGATGTTATAGGCACTTGCTCTAAGTCTTGGTGCTGACCAGTGCCCAAGTCAGGATTTCAGCCCATGGAGTGGGACCATCAGGCACTAGTGCCTCCTCAGTGTGTTCTAATGCTCCCTGTGGACCACCCAAGAAGCCCTGGTGGTGCCTTAATTAAAGCACCTAACTTCTAACCAACAGGCCAGAGGTTCCAAACCACCCCCTGCCGCAGGCCCCATCCAGCAGCTCTATGGCAGAAGGATGTGGCACTCTGCTTCTATAAAGATTATTCCCTCATTGATGTCTAGCCAGAACAGACTTACAGCTGATCCTTCATTGCGTTTCCGAGTCTGTAAATCTCACTGGACAAGGTTGTCCATCTCTCTCCCGCAGAGCTGCTGGTGGATTTGAACCACCAGACAAAGATGCTACCTGTGGGTAAGCAGCACAACTCCCCACAGGCTACACCACCAAAGCTTCCTTGGTAAAGAGGACAGTCTTGGAAACCCTATGGGACAGCTGGACTCTGTCCTCTAGGGTCGCCCTGAGTCACAGTTGATCACCATGGCAGTCAGTTTGTTTGGGTGAACCATCCAGGACCAAGCCCCTGTTTGGAAAAAGACTCCCGCAGCTACCTTTGGCTATCTTCCAGAACCTAGGGGGTCAACTGGGTGCGCACACACACATCTGGACCCACCCATGGGCACACATGGCTGCCCCCATGTTGCCTCTTTCTCTCCCATCAGGAAGCGTACACCCGAGTGCTGATGGGAAACATTGACTTGTCCAGACTCGTCTTTCCTGCTGATACCTCAGGTGGGTTTTGGAGAGCAGGTTTGAGCCAGAGCCTCAGGCCCTGAGTTCGCTGGACCTGGGGACACTGTGAGGAAGGCATTTGGCTACTAGCCAAAAGATCAGCAGTTTGAACCTACCTGCCACTCTATGGGAGAAATATGAGGTGGTCTACTTCTAGAAAAAGTCACAGCCTCAGAGGCCCTATGGCCAGTCCTTCTCTGCCCTGCAGGGTTACTGTGAGTCACAGTCAACTCTGTGGCAGTGGCTTTGGGCTTTTGGTTTGGGACCATTGCCCAGGGGTGTGAGCAGGGCAGGAATTTGATCGCCATCTCATCCATTATGTAGTTGAGACAATCCAGCCCAGAGAGAGAAAGTGACTTGTTCAAGGTCACACAGAGGGTTAGTGAGAGAGCCAGGCCTTGTCTCCTGGTCTCCTGCCTCCTATTCTAAGGAGGTGGGAGGATGGTTAGGTTGACCTGCAGGAAGACTGGAGGACTAGGTGCTTAAGTCTTGGCAGTTGGAAAGACTATGGAACAAAGCCTGCAGTCGGGGTAATGGGTACAAGGTTCAATATGGCAGAAAAAGTGAGAGGGCTGGTGTGACCGGGGCACAGATAATGGCGCCAGACTGGGTGCCATTGGCATCACCTTCCATCCCTTCTCTACTCTCACGTCATGTGTCATTGCATGCTTACCTGCCCCCAAATGGACGCTCTCACAAGGTACCCTGAAATCAGACTGAGGTAGCCCTGAGGCTGGAGAGGAGGAAAGGGAAATGCTGACAGCACAACCCTGAGAAGTATGCAGTAAGGTGCCCAGAAGATTGATTAAGAGCTGTCTCTCTTCCAGGGCGAGTGATAGAGGCCTTCGCCCGCAAAGCCTTGTGGGATGCTGGGCTCAATTATGGCCATGGAACAGGTCATGGCATCGGCAACTTCCTGTGTGTGCACGAATGTGGGTATCTCCTCATCACCCCATGGGGGGCTCCCCCTGTGTGTGATACCCTTCTGTGGAGGACGTAGACTATTCCACAGGTGTGGAAATGGCTAAGATCACAGAGGTACATCAATCCACCCCAGGCAGGAGGTGAAGCACCCCAAAATAAGGGAGGGGTGTTAGCAGTCGGCCCCTCTTGGTATCTGCTAGGCATTCAGAAGGGCACCAGAGAGAGGTACGTCTGGCCCAGTGACAGATTGACAGACCCCCAAGAAAGAATAGCCAGGTCCAGTATGGTGTGTACCAGACCCAGGTAGACCACGATGCCATAGAGAAGTGATGCTAGTGGTCCACCCCTCCTAGGGCCTGTTAGCATCCAAGCTGGTTAAATACAGGATTGCTGACACCAAGCCTCAATCTTCCTTTGCAGGGCCAGTGGGATTCCAGTACAACAACCTGCCCATGGCCAAGGGCATGTTCACTTCTATTGGTATGGCTTTGTGTCTCCTCCACCCCCTCCTTGCCCCAGAGCATGGCTAACCTGGGACTGCAGGCTAGGGTGTGCCAGCTTTCAGGTAGCACGCCATGCCCTGGCCCTCATGGCTACTCCAGCCCCAAATGGTGCCTTCCACCCTAACACCAAGCCCCTGCAGCCCATACCCTCTCTTTCGGCTGTTAGTTTTCACATGAACATCCAGATTTGAAGTTTCCAATCAAATGCTGGCGTAACAGAAAGATGGCCCACAGGATGATGGGCTGGTTGTAGGACTTTGGTTGGGTTCCATAGGCCTTCCCTGCTGGGCTACAAGGGAGAGAGGGTGAATCAAGGGTGTGGCTGTGGGACATCTGAGACCCAACAGGATGCCTCTGTTGAGCCATTGAACATCTGTCAAGTGGAGGTTCAGCCAAAGTCAACAGCCAGGGGGGGCCAGGCAGCAGGCCCTCCAGCCATCCACCAACCTGTAAAGGAAGCCTGGGTTTAGGACCTCCCCCTGCTTAAAGTCACCAGCATCTCTGCTGTCTCTCAGAACCTGGTTACTATCACGATGGAGAATTTGGGATCCGTATTGAAGATGTGGCCCTTGTGGTAGAAGCAGAGACCAAGGTAAGATGCTCCCGAGATGGGCTGACAATGTCAAAAGTATGGCAGTGGCTTTGTAAGAAGGTCAAGGAAAAGGCCACTTCCTGTAGTTGTTGTTAGGTGCCATCGAGCTGAGTACGACTCATAGCAACCCTATGAACAACAGATCTGAACCCTGTCCTATCGTGGGCCATCCTTATCATGTCCGATACACTTGAGCCCATTGTTACCTCACTGTACCAATCCATTTCGTTGAGACTCCTCCTCTCTTTCACTGACTCTCCACCTTTCTAAGCATGATGTCCATTTCCAAGGACTGTCACCCCCACTAACTTTGTATGTGAGTCAAAGCTTCATCATCTTTGCCCCAAAGAGCACTCTGGCTGCACCTTCTTCAAGACATATCTATTTGTTTTTCTGCCAATCCATAGGATATTCAGTACTCTTCTCCAACACCACAGTCCAAAACCATCTGTTCTTCTATCATCTTTATTCATTGTCTAACTTTCAGATGCATAGCAAGTAAGTGAAAAATCCATGGCTTTGATCAGGCCCACCTTAGTCTTTAAACTGGCATTGTTGCTCTTTAACACTTTGAGGAGGTCCTTGACAGCAGATTTTCCTAATGTAGCATGTCTTTTGATTTCTCGACTATATATGTATGATTTTTTTTTAGAATCTTGCATGGTTCTGTAGGAATTCCTTCAGAGTTTCTCAAATATTCTTGCACATTAGAATCACCTGGAGAGCCTTCCTCCCTTTCCGTTTTAATGTCAGTGCTCAAACCCCATTCCAGGGCATGTGAATCAGTATCCCTGCCCTAGATTGTTGGTTCTCTATGCACATTCTAGTCACCAGGAGAGCGTTAGAAAAAAAAGACCCACTATAATGGCAACCAACAAGATGAAATGCCTAGATAGAAGAAACCTTAGGGGACATCCATGAAGAAAATCTCTAGTGATGGACATAAAGAAAGATATAAGAATATGAACTTTGTAAGCAAACCAATAAACAAAACAAAACAAAACAAACTCAAGAAAAGATTTAAGCAAATGTGCTTTTTTTGGAAAGAAATTTCAGTATGAAGATGTCATTTATCTCAAAAATAATCTAAACAATAATAATAATCTATACAAGCCAATCTCAATTTCAATGCTACCTTGGTCTGTTTCTAACTTCACAAAATGATACTAATGTTAACTTGTGAGAATAAACATGGCAAGACAGTTAGGTAGCTGGGGGAAATCCATAAGAGAGTAAAAGGGGAGAAACTCGCCCTATCATGTATTAATTAATACACATGGTAAAGCTACTATAACTAAAACAGTATGGCACTGGAGATGAAGTAGACAAAAATAACAGTGGAATAGAATAGTCCAGATATAGATCCTCTAGTTCCCATAAACCAAATAGGAACATAGTTATAATAAAACTGGCATTTCAAAACAGTGGAGAAGAGAGGGATTGCTCAATAAATGGGTGGGTGGAGTCAATTGGCTAAATATAGGGTAAAGGGCTTAAGTAGCTTAATCTCACTTTTACACCAACATAAACTTCTGGATGGATCAACAATTTAAAGATGTACAATTAAACCATAAAAAAGATCTAGACAAAAACATAGATGAAATTAGTTTCTATGGGTCTTCCTGTGCCAAACTCAGAAGCCATGATGAAGAAGACTGAGGACTCTAAATTAAATACTAAACCTCTGTAAGGAAAAAAAAAACCCCAAAACCCACAACAAACCCATCATGAATAGAGTCACAAGATGCCCCTCAAATGTGTTATCCAGGACAGATATAGGGTTAATTCCCTTACTTTACCAAGAGCTTTTGCAAATCAATAAGACAAAAAAAAAATTAGGAAGGCCAGAAAGATGGGTGAAATATATGAAGTAGTAATACACTGAAAAATCAATATAAGTGGTCCATAAACATGAAAAGATCTTAAATTCATTCTTGAATAAAGAGACGCGCATTGAAACCACAAGAAAATACCTTGTCTAGCCTATGCAATGGGCAAAAATTAAAGACTCCCATTCACTCTTTGAGGGGGTTTATAAATTGGTGTCACCTTTCTGGAAGCCAGTTCAGTGGTATTCTGTCAAAATACCTATTTAAATGGCCTGCATCTCTTGTCTCCATACTCCTTCTGTCAGACATGTACCTCATGGTCCCCCAAGTTCACAAGATGCTTGTGCAATGATATTAGTTGTAGGATTGATGGTTTTAATAGTAAAAAATTTGGAAAAAGCCTAAATACCCATGAGTGGTTAAAGAAATGATGTTAAGAATTTTATGCAACCCTTAAAAATTAGGGAGGTCTAATTTATTTATTTATTTTTTAAATTTTATTATTTTTGTGTGAGTGTACCGTCAAATCCCTCCTCCCCCGGCAGAGCATCTGGTGGATTCGAACTGTGCGCCTCTGGGATTGTATTTGCAGCTCCTTACCACTAGGCCACCAGAGCTCTCCTTGGAGGTCTAATTTTGAAGTCTCCTAAATTTAGGGAGCTCTGGTGGCTTAGTGGCAAGAAGCTGTGCTGCCAAAGGCACACAGTTTGAATCCACCAGCTGCTCCATGGAAGAAGAATGGATAATCTCCTCTTTTGCAATTTATTGCCTCTGAAAACTCACTGAAGGGTGAGCTGTGGATTGGTTCTGGCTCAACAGCACACAACAACACAACTCCTAAATTTACTATTTAAGTGGGAGGGCGGGAAGTACAGAGAAAACATGCAAGGTGTGATTTTCTTTGTGCAAATTTTTACAATATTTATATAGATATATATGCTAGATATGTCTTGGTGAAGGTGAAATCAAGTTTCTCCTAGAGGCTAGGATTTTGAGGCTCCATCTCACATACTTTAGGCATGTGGCCAGGAGGGACCAGTCCTTGGAAAAAGACATTATGCTCGGAATGGTGGAGGGACAGAGCAGGAAAGGAAGACCCTGGATGAGATGGATTGCTACAGTAACTGGGGTGATGGGGGTTGGTGTGTTAGAGGCAGTGAGACTGGCTCAGGACAGGGCAGGCTTCAGAGCTGCTGTACATAGGGTCACTATGGGTTGCAGGAGACTCGACAGCACATAACAACAACAACAGCAACATGTCTAAAATGTTTCCAGGAAGGAAACTTAGGCTGGGAGGAGACTTTGCACTTTCATTGTTTGGATTTTCTAAGCATGCACATCCAAATGTTCTCTGAGAGACGGGAATTATAGGCTCTTTTGCTTCTTTAAACGTGGATTAAATCAGATAGATTCTTAACAATTGTTGCCAGGCTGACTCCTGGCAGCTCCATAGGGCCTTTTCAGTGGTTGATTTTTCAGAACTCAAACACCAGGCCTTTCTTTCGAGGAACTCCTGGGTGGACTTGAACCTCTGACTTTTTCCATTAGCAGTTGAAGAGTTGCTTGCCCCACCCAAGGATTCTAGAGAGAATGTTAGAAAATAGATAACAAAAAAATTGTCTTAAGCTCATTTAAGCATAGATTTCTAGAGATACTGATTATCGAAGGTTCAGGGAATGGGTCCTGAACATTTAACACGCTGCCTGGTTGTTGATGACACACACACTTTGGAAAATACAGACTTAAACGTGCATTTCAGGAACCAGGAAAAAAGTAGCAATGTGTTGTGTGTGTGGGTCTCCTAAGTGCTAGACTGAGGCACTGGTCCTGAGGATTCTGGAAGGTTTAGGCTCACGCCTGTATCTCAAAGGTTGACTAGGGGCAATTTTCCCCCTTTTCTCTCCCTTTGGTCTCATTTCCTTGTTGGTTCTCAGTACTCAGGAACTTACCTGACCTTTGAAGTGGTATCCCTTGTGCCTTATGACCAGAACCTCATTGACGTCAGCCTGCTGTCCCCTGAGCAGGTAAGTACCCCTCAGCATTGCCTTCTCCCACTGTCTTGGATCTTTCTTGCCTCCCCCCTACTCTCCCAACACCCTCCATACTTACCTGACCCCCAGGAGGATCCACATTTGTGGCACTTGTAGGCATTTCTCTTAGCTCACCAAAACCCAGGGCTTCTAGAACTTTTCAGCCAGACCAGCCTGCCCAAACTCAAGTAGTAGACTCCTGAGGGGCTATGAGGCTGGATCCTTGAGCTCTGCCACTACAAGTACTGGAATTGTAGATGGTCTCTTTCTTTCTCTGGGTCCCATGCACTCTCCTGAATGATAAGGGTAATAATACCCGCCCTTGCTCTCATTCCTGGGCCAGAAGTTCACCCCATGCCCCAAGAAAGTCACTGGGACATTTATTACACAGCCCTGGTGAGGAACCGCCTATGGAAAGACCCAGAGAATGGCAGGCAGCCAGTGAAGCTGGGGGGACCGTTGGGTATTCCATCCATGGGCGGCCTTGGCAGCTTAGTCTGCAGCGGCCCTCATCCCTTGCCTTTTGCAGCTCCAGTACCTGAACGACTACTACAAGACCATCCGGGAAAAGGTGGGCCCAGAGCTACAGAGGCGCGAGCTCCTGGAGGAGTTTGAATGGCTGCAGAAGCACACAGAGCCCCTGGCCGCCAGGGCCTCCCCCACAGCCTCCCTAGCCGCTGTGGTGGCAGCCTCTACTCTTGCTGTTGTCGGCTGGAGTGTCTAAAAGCTTCATATTCCCCTGCTGGCCTTCAGCCTAGATATGCAGCCCATTTTCTCAGCCCTCCTCACTGTGCACCATACACACCCACCCAGAACCCCTCCCCAAGCCCATTGCCTGAAAACTATTGCCCTTGGCCTTCTTCCCCAGGCCCAGGCCCAGAGAAAGGCTTTGGGGCCCCAGGCTTATCAGCCTCACCCTCAGGTCAGCCACAGACCACAGGACAGGAGAGCCAGCTCGCCCCTTCCCGCCCACGACCAGCCAGCCCCACGTGCAGAGCTCCTACCACAGTCCCACACCAATACCATGACCAGGAGGGTAGTGTAGCCCTGCGCACCCCTCAGGGAAGCCCTACCATACTTCTACCTGCACGTGGAGCCAGAGCTGCCCCCACCCACGCTGAACTTGATGTTTGGACTCCCTGTGGCCTTGAAGCAGCCTCTGGCCACCACCCACCTCTCCTTCCTGGCTGCAGACACAGCCACAAAGCTGAAGAAACTAACTCCATTAGGGCTGTCTGCTGTACCCAGAGAGGGAGAGGAAGGAGGGGTGGCTTTCACTGCAGACTGCCACGCCACAGTTGGGGAAACCACAGCAAGGGAGGTGGGGGGTAGCCAGGGAAGGCCCCCCCAACACCAGCCTCTCAACCTATGAGCCCATCTTTCCTGAAACACCCCACCACCTCCAAAGGCTCTGTACCAGTACCAAGAGTGCTCTGGGGACTCGCCTGTAGGATCTGGGGGTTTGGGGGGGGGACAGTTGGAGCAGCTCCAGGCTAGTCACAGTCCCAGACTCTCCTGGCCTGAGTGACACAACTGTTATCCTAAAAGTTGGCGGTTTGAATTCACAGTGGACAAAAGGCCCGGTGATGAGCTTCGTAAAGATAAGAGCCGAGAAAACACTATGGAGCAGGTTTTTGTCATACATTCCACAGCGCTGGATCTCTTTTGGTGTTTTTACTTTCCTTTTTTTTTTTTTTTAAAGAAAAGAATAAAACCTTTCCAGATCCCAGCCACAGTGACCATGCTTTTATCCACATCTTTGGATAGTCATTCACCGTGCCTGGATGCCCATTTTACAGACAGGCAAACTAAGCTCCAGAGAGGGAGTGGGACATGCGCAAAGACTCAAGACGTGCCTGGGGGAGGGGCAATAGGCCTTTTAGCGCCACCAGGCGGGGATCCTATCTTCCCCTTCCCACTTTCCCACGGCTTCCCATTGGCTCAACCGCATTGGTGTGAGGAGAGTTTTTTTGGGGGAGGGGCAGAAGGTGGCCATTAGCCACCTGTGTGCACATCCGGCTAGATGCTTAAAACAGCTTGGCGACCATGCCTGCCTCCGGGTTTTGCATTGTGTCTGCTGTGTTGCCAGAGAATGCTGTTACCTGTGGGTTTTGTGGTGGGGACATGAGGCTCCCATAAGCTTAGTGGAGAGCACATGGGAGGGAGAGGGGGAGGGAGAGAGAGAGAGAGAGAGAGAGAGAGACCGTCTGTCCGTCCAACCAACTACTTCAGCCTGTGCCAAGGTTTAATGGCCATGGGGGGAGTGGAAGATTTTCAGAAAAAAAGCAGTAATAGGTTTTTTTTTTCTTTACATATATTTAATAAATTAGAAAGGTAAAAATAAATTTGGCTTTTATGAAAATTTTGGCTGTATTAAATAATATTTTATCCTCAAAGATACTTTTTTAGGAAGTCATTGTGTGAGACAAATAATGATCAGTAATAGAACCACATTTCAGTTAGAAACGTTTCATTTACATATTTTAAAATGAAATTTGCATTCATGGTTATTTTTGTTGAGCTTTCTTTAATTTGCAATTCATTAAAACATATTGACAATTTAAAAAATGGTTCATAAAAGCAAATATAATTAAAGTGATAAATATCTGAACATTGCATTTTATTAGACTGTTGATAAGTTTACTCATGATTGCCTTTAAGAGCAATAGATAAACAATTATAGAAATTGTCTGTATTTTGAACAAAGTGTAGAGAACTCTTTAATAAACCACCCTTTCGAAAACAGACACTATATACAATCTTTTATAAGATTGGCTAGATTTACCTCATAAAACAGAAAAGTTGGAGCTAGAGCCGTTGCTTGGTGAATTGGGGCCAGGGGTGCAGTGGGGCTCAGGGAGGGAATCTAGCCTGTGAGTGGAGGGAGTAGTTGAAAAGATACCAGGCAGAATAGTCCATCCTCAGGACCATAAGCCGAGGTTTTTGGGTGTGAGGGTGACCTTGTATGGAAAAATCCTATCTCTGACCCCTTCCTGAGAGCCGTTAGCCCTCAAAGATGGGCCTGTTTGCTGGGCCTCTCTCATTTGATCAGCCACAAAACTGACTGACTAATAGCAATAAAATTAAAGTTGTCAATTAAAGTCGTCAGCCTCTGCCTCCTCCTCTTCCTCCTCCTCCTCATTACAAGTGTTTAGCGAAGAGGACTTGAAACACTTGCTGCAGAAGATCAAAGACTATTCATTTTCAGTATGGATTACATCTTAATATCAAGAAAACCAAAATCCTCAGCACTGGACCAATAGGCAACGTGATGATAGATGGAGAAAAGATGGACATTGTCAACAAGCTCATCATACCTGGATCCACGATCAACACTCATGGCAGCAGCAGTCAAGGAATCAAAAGATGTGTTGCATCGGGAAAATCTGCTGTCAAGAAAGTCTCCAAAATTCTGACTAACGTCGTCGATGCCAGTTCAAAGAGTAAGGTGTGTCTGATACAAACCATGGCGTTTTCAATTGCTTCCTATGTGTCTGAAAGTTGGACAATGGATGAATCAGGATGACAAAAGAAGGATCAATGCCTTTGAATTGGGGTACTGGAAAAGAGTGCTGGATATCCCATGAACTGTGTAAAAAACAAAACTATCCCAGAGGCAGTGTAGCCAGGGTGCTCCTTAGAGGCGAGGGTGGTGAAGCTTCATTTCACGGACTTTGGGCATCTTGTCAGGAGGGACAATAGACCTCATGCTGGGAAAAGTAGAGGGTCAGAGAGAGACAGGATGACTCCCAATAAGCTGGATTAACACAGTGACTATAACAATGGGCTCAAACACATCTGAGAGAATGATGATGGCACGGAGGAGGGCAAGCTTCTGAAGTGCTGTGACAGCACATAACAACGCCACCATCAGTAGGGCCCAGGCAGCATGCTAAAAGCTTGACATGAATTTTCCTGTTTGAGCCCTACAACAACCTATGAGAATGTCCTTTCAAGGGAGCTCTGGTGGCCTAGTGGCAAGAAGCTGCGCTGTAATCCCAGAGGTGTATGGTTCAAATCCACCAGAATGCTTTACTGGCGAAGGAGAGGCAATCTCCTCCTGTACCAGTCAGATCTGATTTGATGGTACACACACACACACACACACACACACACACACAAGAAAAAAATAAATAAATAAAAAAAGACCTTCCTAAGAGAATGTCCTTTCAGCTTTGCCATTTTCCAGAGGAGTGAAGTGAGTGAGTGAGGCTCACAGAGCTAACTCAACTCATTAGAGGTCACTCATCAGCTCAGCGGAAGCAGAACCCACGCTTAAACATTAAGTGACAGCGGTTCTCGCCGCTTTCCAGATCAGAGCCCGGAAGGTGCAATAGCTAGCTGCTAACTGAAAGGTTGGCAGTTTGAAACCGCTGTGTGGCTCCATGGGAGACTAGCTTGGTTTTCTGCTTCTGTAAAGGGTGGAGTGAGTGAGGGAGTGAGTCAGTTAGTTTTAAATCCCTTTAACAAACAAAAACAAGCCCATACCCAAATATTGCACATCTTTATCCCCCAGAGCTTCTGGTGGGCTTAAACTGCCAGCCTTTTGGTTTGTTTAAACCACTGCACCATCAGAGCAACTAGTTTGAATTTCTAGCAGTTCCCTGTTGAGGACTCCAGTCATTTTCAGTAACCTTCAATGAGATTTCACTTGCGTGTGATACTAATGATATTATTTTATTACTTTGTTTTCTAGTTTATCTATTTTATCACTTTTATTTTTGGAATGGGCACAAATATGAGTAGAGCGCCTTCTGTAAATATTACAGCCTAGCAAAGCCTAGAGGGTCATGCGACTAAAAAAAATTGACTTGTCAGCTCCTAACAACTTTGCAGATGAGGAAACAGAGGCACACATAGCTGTCTCCCCTGGGGCCTAGCTCCCACTTCACCTTGGCACTCAGCACTTGTTTCTGCTTCTAGGAGGCTCATGGTGGCAAGTGGTCACTGGGTGCCTAGCCAGGCCTTTCCGTCCAGGGCAGCTCACATGCTAGCCTTTTCTGTCTTTAATGCAACTGCCCTGAGCTCTGCCCCATCTCAGACCCATAATTCAACTGGCTCTCCTAGTTCACCATTTTGGAATTGAGTTCCTACCCCAAGTTTGGCTGTTGAAATGGCCACAAGGACTCAGATAGGTGGACTCTGGGACACACAGGAAGAAGTAACACACAGAGACTCCCACAAATCATTAGGAAATAAATGGAAATGTGGGGTGGGGTTTTCTGTGTGCTTGCGTGCTGAAGGATGGAGCTTATGAAACGTCTCCTCATGTACTGATTATAGCTGTGGATGGGGCCCTGTGGAAGAGCCCCTATTCTGAGGAATTAGAATTCTAGGGTTCTAGTCCCAGATGTGCCAGCTGTGTGGCCTGGGGGAAGTCACTTGACCCCTCTGGTCTTCATTTACTCCTTCTGTAAAATCCCTGTACTGCCTTCCTCTGAGATTGTGGTGAGAGGCCCCCAAGCCCTGGATGTGACAGCCCGGAAGCCACACTGATGAGAGATGATAATGCTCTTTCTTATTTGCTCAGCCCGAGTCCAATTCTTGCCTCATCTTTGGAGGTAGATAAGGAAGAAATTTGGGACCCAAATCTGTCGTATTTTCCGGTCAAAACTGGAAAGAGTTTGTGTTGCTGTTCAGCACCATTGAGTCAACCCACCTCACAGAGATCCTACACACAATGGAATGAAGCGCTGCCTGCTCCTGTGCCATCCCCTGATTGGT